ACTTTGCCTCCTTATTCATCATTTTACTGAGAATCACAATGAAATTGTGATGACGACCAAAAACGGTTCACACTCGATCAGTAAAATAGTAAATGCTCTTGATGCCAACATAAAACGCATATTACTGTTTGTTCACAGTTTCTCAAGATGTGACACGGTCAGCAGTATACATGGCTTTGGTAAGGTGAAGATATTGAAAAAGGCAGTTTCTTTTCATGAGGAGGGTCATTTAGCATCATTACTCTCTGTGAGAGTTTCAACAAATGAAGTAATTGAAGCTGGCCTCTCCTTGCTTCAACATATCTATGGAGATAAAACCAAGGCACTTGAAACTCTCAGATTTCTCAGCTACAGTAGAATGATAGCAAAGAAAAAACTCAACCCATCAAGGCTACCACCGTCTACATCCTCTGCAACTGAGCATATATTAAGATCATATCTTCAGTACCATAACTGGGTGACACTCGACACTGCAAGTCTAAATCCACTACATTATGGATGGGAGATGAGTTCTGAAGGATACTACCGGTCAATTCCGACTAAAGCTGCGATTGCCCCGGCAGGGATGCGCAACCTCATTTGCTGCAATTGCTCGGTGGAGGTTGAGAACCCTTAAAAAGTTGTAAGTACTTAAGGTGTTCCTGCCGGAAGTATGGCTTTAAATGTCTACCTGCATGTGGTCAATGTCGTGGATTAAGTTGCACTAATGCACCCGAAAGACAGGACGATTCAGGAGAATCAAACAACTCTGAGGAAATGGGATAGCCAGAAGTGACCTAATAGTTGCCAATCAAAGACACCATGCTAATAATTCAGGACCTTTTTTTACAGAATTTGATGTGATATGTATATTATTTACTATACTAATATAAGGATCAATTGACAATTGAAAGTAAATTTTAGAATTTGAATACTGATAACTAGACAATGTTTTAATTGTACAACAATTTTGCTAAATTTCCAAATTTAAGTAAAATTTCAAAATTTTAGTAAATTTTTGAGAGGTCAGCCTATAAAAATGAAATTATCTCAATAAGTAAAGATCTGACGACCCTGAAACACTGATTCGCCCCACATAATGTCACTATTGCGGTAATTTTACACCCCCTATGGTACTCCTGGGGGTCTTTATTACGATAGTTACGAGTTTTTCAAGTGCGGTCCTCAGGCTAATATACGCGCTTGGAGAAAATTAGCTGTAACTTTTTTTGCTCAACAGATCCAGATTCAAAACTCTTTGGGGTGGTTCCTGACACTATGGACAACACATTCCTGTAAAAATCAGCTTGTCGCAAATTTTTTCCCAGACATTTTGCATTATTCCCTAACTACAAGTTGTCACGCCTCAGCGCTTCACATCTTGACGTTTTGTATACCCTCTTTTTGTCTTGTGACTTCTGTGTACTAGCTAAGTGCTGTGTCCTTTGTCACATTATCACATTAAGACCCTTAATTGCGGGACGATTAAGTGTACCGCATTTGAAGATTTATTGTTACCACGTTTAACGTATAATATACTGCTCAAATCTGGCTTAACATCACGGAATATTATTTCTCAGCAGTTTTAATGAGGCCATTACACATTCTATGGTCGTAAAATACTTCCCCAGCTCTTAAACGATTATAGCTATCAAAAAACCGTCACTCCGCCTGTCTCTTACGAAATGTGATGCAGCTCTGCAGCTCGAGTATTTATGAAGCAAGTTATAGCAACACCCTCTTATTCTAATTTCTACTACCAGTTCTGGCTAATGTAGTAGCTTGTAAACTTTTTGAGCTATTTGATTGATTTTTGCCTCATATTGGTCTATAATATCGGTCTTCATTTGACATTTGAAGTTAAACTGTTACATTTATATGTATAATAATGTTGTTTAAAAGGTTGATCCTTTCTGAATTTTAAGCCGTCTCATGGTGCCAATTAGCGCCCCTATTTGACCTAATCCTGCCCCCACTATTACTGAGAGGAGATTTTTCGTTCAGATTTGATATTTGACGAGCATCACAGTTTACAAATTCTTTGCCATATAAAAATATCAAACTTAAAAACCGATTATACTATCGAAGGAATATACCATCTGAATTGGTGATCGCTATAATTGTCTTCGCCTGAATAATTGAATTTGGATGACCACATGTCCCAGTTGAGAAGGAATAATTGCAGCAAAAATATCTCAAGTAATTTCCATATTTTTAGTCTCGGCTCAGCAGCATGCCGTCAGACAAGTAATTACTTTTGATACAGAATTACAAATAGTTACGTTCTAGAAAATTCTATTTCTTTTACCTAGTTTTTGTCGGTCCTTTTTATATCGTACCAAACAGACATGATCTTCATTAGTTTCACACGTAGTTTATAGTCTGCCAGCAGTCATATAAATATAATGGTTCCAATCTTTTTACCCCCGTCAAATTAAAATTCTCCTTTGAATACGCGTTGATTTACTTTTCAATTATTGTAACTGGTCATTTTTGGTCTATACTATTGTGGTTAGTACCTATAATGCTCCCCAAATTAGATTCTTCGAATTATCTCCAACAATTTCAAAATCTCATTTAGCCGGCCCCTTTCAGTACACCTCTCATTTTAGTCACGTGTACTTTTTAGTCACGTGTCCAAACTCCAAGATACACTGATACTCAAAAACCCATCAGAGTAAAGTGCCATTTATGACCATAGTATGATTATATTTATCACCACTTTAAGACTAGCAATAGCCGGTCCCTGTTTTTCCAACCAATAATCACGTGTGACTGAGACACCGCTACTCATCCACCCCGCCACCCAGCACAAGACGGATTAGACTACAAAATTTGGCGGTTCTTGTCACGGCGATTATCACGTGACAGCGCAAATTGCACTGATCGGGTGTTGGTATAATTGGTGAGTGGATCTTCTCGCCACGATTACTGGCCAGCTTGCAGGATACCTTTGCGCGGTTACACCGCCCTAAAAACGATTATTGCTGCTAATTTTATGATCTGATTTTAACCGGTTAATAGGGGCCTGGGACGCACTAATCACGTGGTTTTATGACTGTTCGGTTTTATGACTGTTCGGTTTTGTGACTGTTCGGTTATGTGACTGTTCAGTTATATGACTGTTTTGTGACTGACATGTTTAAATTTCCGAACGATTACACGTGATTAAGAAATAAGTAACCATGTGGCTGAGAGGCAGAAGAGCTGACTTGTCCAAACTTGTCATAACCTGGCTGAACTCATCAAATTAAGTAGCCCTTCACAGAGAATTCAACACAGTAACCATGACAACACAACCTATTACTATCACTTCCACCCGGCTCTCTCGACCAGCTACCGCAATTTTACCGCATTTAAACCGCACTTCTCAGTTCTGACTGGCTGACTACTCGCCTGAACAGGGTAACTAGCAGCTCTCTCACAGCCAGCTGATTGGGTGCCTCATTAACTGCTTGTGTCGCAGCGAATTAGTTAATTAGTTACCTAATTAGTTTTGATTAATATTTGAGGACATATTGGGCGTTATATATAAGGAGACGTCACTGCATGCTGTGTAGCATAACTATCAATTGGGTTTGCTTTCGTTTACAGTCCATCACTTGCAGTTTGCTGAAGGCATTTTATCACAGTATATTGAAGGCACTTTATTGAAGTATTAAGGAAGGTGTAATATAACGATAAAGGAAGAGTTATAAATTACAAGGATTTAATTGAGCTAAATGTTAGGTGTTGCTTAACTTGTTTCTAATGCTTTGCTTACCCCTCATGTTATATATAACTATATAGTATATATACTATTTGTTTGTTACTATTTGTTTGTATTACCTAACTCACCACTTTTTACCAACTCATTAGTTTACTTTTTAGATGCGGTTTTGTTGTCACAGTACGTGAGTCAGTGTTGGCTGTGTGCCAAGTTAGTGTTGGCTGTGTGCCAGTGAATTGTAAGGGTGTTGAACCATTTCCGTTTTACGCATCTGACGTGTGCTGCAATTAATTTCTCCTGGAATTTTTCTGAAAATGGCAGATTTTTACGGAGTTATTTTGTCGTGTATAGTGACCAATGTGTTGTCTAATGCAAGTCAAATTGGCTAATAATGTTATCGTTTGTGGCAGAGTTATTAATATTGCTGCTTGCGTTGTTGTAACATCGGTGTGTGTGTGTGTGTGTGTGTGTGTGTGTGGTGATATGTTATGTGTTTACGTTATGTCACGCCAAGTTGCTCTCTTTATTTTGTAGAATGGCATCATTGGAATGACCTGCATTTTTGTTTTCCTTTGGTATTTATTTCGTCTTTCGTGTGTCTATGTTTTTGTCTATCTTTTGTCTGTCCTTTGTCTATTTTCGTACTTTTGTCTTTGTTCTGTGTTCTTTTGTCTCTCTTCCTGTGTTAGTGTGTTCTGATGAAGTGTTTACTTCAACGTGTAGTGAAGTGTAGAGAAGATATTTTAATGAGTGTCTTTACGGCAGCTACTTCGTTAACATGACAGTTAAATCTTGACATCATGTTAAGAGATTTATGTTTTGTCGTTACTGTGTTTTTTATTTCAATTTATGAAACCTTTTATTAATTTTTTACAGTTCATTGCAACAGTTTTCAGTCTATTTGACAACCTTTCATCAGTCATAGTAATAAGTCTTAATAAGTTGATTGTATGCTGCACAGACAAAGGTTTCAGTTGAACTTAATTACAAAGTAAAATGGTCTATAATATTCATCTTTAGCCCCCCTGGGCCCTGACTAGTGACTAGTTACTATATTCTATATTACTGTAATATATTGTTTAGGGCTTTGTAAAGGGGCCTAAATAAAGGGCTATATAAGGGGACTTAAATTCAAACTTGTAGTTGTATGGGTGGAAACCATGAAAAGGAAGATCAGTACGGACTACGGAATCATAATATATTTGGGTTTTAGTTTTTATGATGTAATAGCTGTAATACACGTAATAAGACAACATTTTGTAAGGTTTGTAACACGTTTTTGTTTCAGTATTATTAACACTTTTTATTCTAGGGACAAACTGATGAAAGATAGGCGTAAACTAGAGTCTGCCGAGCACGATCATGTGAGTTATTACACTTTCTACATCTTTACTTTACATAACTGTTTTGATTACTATGTTATCTGTTACGCAGAAAACTGTTTTTATGTATTATATCTAAAGACTGATGACTTGTTATTATTGATTGTTAATCCAGATTGACGTCAGTGATCATTAAATCGGTTATTATTATATTTATAAGATATTTATAATAGATAAACATTTGTACTGGTGTAATTGGATAACAATTCAACATCTTCCACATCCTGTCAGACTAATATTACATCACGTCAATATTCGTCTTCACACTTCTGGCAGTTTATTGGCTTTGGAATCAATGACATGTCAAAGTTTTCCTTCTTTTTGGATTCTTCCGTCTGCCAAATCTAAAACGAGAGAGTTTAAACCCTAAAACGACATAGTTTTAACTCTCCTTTTCCATTCCATTCGTCTCGTTCGAGCGTTAAAGTTCACCTCTAATGTCCATGGGACTAGCACGAAGGTATTTAACTTTGGTGGGGATAATAAGGGAGATAGTTGACTCACCATGTGTGCTACTTCTTTACTAGTTTACTGCTAAAGTAAACGCTTGACGACAGGTAGTTCAGTATTGCATATTTACGATATTATCTCCCTGAGTATCTCGGGATATCTCCAGTTTTAGCTGAATCGGCCGGAATGTTTCTTTAGAAACAGGGCTGGTTTCCTGAGAAGCTGGAATATTTGGCTGACATCAATAGGAATCACATGTGCATTCAAAAGAATTTTGTGGAGGATCAAAGCGGTGCGGCTTTCTTTTAATTCAAATATACCGTCTTATTTGAATTTTGACGGCCTTTGAAAGGTGTATTATAACATGTGACAGCAGCTGGCGACAACACCCTGATTTGAGTTTGTGTAATTCCTGACAGCTGTCTCGAGCCATCTCCACCAGTCAACCTGTTTCTTTAACAATATATTTTTAAAACCGGATTCCGGTGGAAACTTTCGCATTGACCAATAATGGAACCCTTCCATTAGACACCGCTATATTACTAGACATACCTTAGTGCAAGAAATATAGGCGGCAAGAAATTAAGGCGATTCTGACAAAATCGCCTTAATTTCTTGCCGCCTTAATATCTGACCACCGTAATTTCTAACCGCCTTAATTTTTTTTCTTGCGATTTTTTCATAAGAAATTTTCGTGTGATTTTATTATTTTAAATTTACATGTCGATTTCGTTATTTGCTAGAATTCAATGAAATACATATTTAAAATAAATTAACTTGAGTCTAAATACATTAATATATCAATTAATATTCTCGTCTTCTCCTTCTTCATCAGAGTCATATATCTCCAGCAGCTGCAATCCATAACCAAGATAGTCGTCGTCATCTTGCTCCGTCGTGTCTGGAAATAGCTTCTTGATAATATCAGCTGATTCATCCTCCAAACGTTTGTCGAAGCTGTACTTTTCGTCGACTAACTTCTTGAGGAGCGTTATTCCCTTCTCATTGGTCCATGAAGCAGTTACAGAGCACTTCACTTCTAAGCCGCCCTGTGTAAGAGGAGAACGTGCAGGTTTCTCCTCCAGGATTGATCCATTTGCAGCGCTCAGGATCTAACTTCATGTTTTTTATCTCGGCTTCTCGGACTATATTCTATTGAGATTTAAACTGCAGTACATGTGTTATTAATGTCAGTTCAAATTCGAATGTTCGTACAATTTTACATTTCATTTTTAAGCTTTAAATCGAGTTTTAATTTTAAAAAGAAATAATTTTTAATTTTAATGATGATATGTAGTATACATACATAAAAATTCCTTGCCGCGTACAGAATGTGCACTATCATTTTGTCAAATGCAATGAATATACCAATTGACTTGCAGTTTGCTGATGTAGTGGATGTCTACCTAATTTAAAATTATAAACTTAGACGACAGAACAGCAATCACTATAAATATAATGTGCATGCACCATTTAGTTTTTATGTGACCAATGTCCAATATATCGTATTTTTAAACAGATTTCTATGCTTTATAGACTGATAAAAGAATAAAATTGACACTATTTCGACCAAAACTATAACCAAATTTGCGATCAAAAATCGTATTTTTTCCGAAAAAAATATCGCCTTAATTTCTTGCCGCCTTAATTTCTAGCGCCTTATATTCTTGCCGCCTATATTTCTTGCACTAAGGTAATCCCCGCAGTTTCGTATGCTCTTTACCAAATGTGCCGTGCAAAGTTGCTACGGGTAAATGGCAATGAGATGAAGAATTTCTCCGATATAGCCGTAATTATTGGGAGCACGCAATTTGCTGACACTCTGATATTTCAAAAGTCATTAGAGAAGGCAACCTGGAATACTTCTCTGCGATTTAGGCACATCTTCAGAAGTGATATCAGCTTTAGAATTTAGATTGATCACCATGAAACGGATAACCAGAAGAATAAATCTGCCATAAATTATGTGCTCTGAATAATGCATGGAGATCTGCCACATCGTTCACGACGCAATAATTACTGCACCTACCAATCATAGCAACGATTCGCTTACTTTAGGAAGATTAAAAGCTCTCTTTGACACAGGTTAATTTTCCAGGGGCGAAAAGCAAGAAAGAGGTCAGTGTCCCCCATTCCCCAAAGATCGAAGAGGAGAATTATCGAGGACAGCGTCGAGCAGGTAACAGCAACGTGAAAATTAGATTTTTAATTTAACCAAATTTAAATATTTAGTTTAATCTAATTTAATCTAATTCTCCTTCCTGGTGCTTTAGAATATCCAAAATAACATGCAACAGCGTTTCTCTGTCAACAGTATTACATTAACATACAGACTGCAGTTACCACGAAAATATTGTGTACAAAAATAACCACAATTAATCCAATTTGCACGATAAGAATTATATAAGTATATACGTCCGACAGTTTAAATAGACTTCACGCTGTAGAGTCATAGAGTGGTAGACTGTATCCGTTATTTCGTCACTAGCCGCTTGCATTTAAACGTTGAACTTGAGAACCTGTGATCATATCTGAATCATCATAGTTGTCAAATCGTTAAAACCCGCCTAATATTTTATGTTGGCTGATTTTGCTTGTTTCTTTTCTTGGAATGTTGGTTTCCAGAAGTTCTCGTGAAGAACAAGACACGCTTCTTCAAAGTATCTCAAGAGTCAGTTTGAATTTTTGTTCCAAGTTTAAAATGGTATCCAAAACGTCAAATTTAACTTTATTAGACTAAATATAGTTATAATTTTATTGGACTAAATATAGTTATAGTTACTGTCATAAGTACGAGATGTGAACCGTGTTCCCATCAGTCAATACAACAATTATTTATTAATTATTTAATAAAACAATTATTTATTTAATAAAAGAATTACGCACCTTCTCTTCAGGTTCTCAGAGACACAATATTCCAACTGTCAGTTAATAAACTTCAGTTCTCCAGATGGAAGATGCACGAGCCTCCTCTGTCTAGGTTAGTTCTCTCATTTACCGCCGCCAATTCCTTTCTTCAAACAAAGTTTGAGCAATCAATGAATCAAAAACACGATTTACCGCGAACTCTTCTTATCAGTATCTCCTCTTATCTCCTCTTATCTCCTCTTATCTCCTCTTATCTCCTCTTATCTCCTCTTATCTCCTCTTATCTCCTCTTACCTCCTCTTACCTCCTCTTATCTCCTCTTATCTCCTCTTATCTCCTCTTATCTCTTCTTATCTCTTCTTATCTCTTCTTATCTCTTCTTATCTCATCACATCCCTAGGACGGTACTGATCTGGAACATGGTCAGAGTGATAGACAAGGAGATCCAACAGGAGAAAGTAGTGGACGACGTGCTGTCTATCCTGGGGGATGAGTCCAACGTTAAGTTTATCAAAGTCTGTAGAACAGACTGCTCTGGTGATTCCCAGAGAGATTCTGACAGAGTGAGTGTTTTAGAATTCTTCTGTCATATTTTAGTAATAAATTGCACTTTAAACTATCCAAGGCTACATGTGTCGATAAGTGATTGGTTATGAGCGTAACGTGTCGAAAGGATCTCCATTGTTTTCCATTTTACCGTCTTTTGTTTTTATTATTTATCATCCATTTTCCCTAACTTTTTCTGTTCCTACAGGTGACAACGGAATATTCAGATACTGAGGAAGTCGAAATGTCAGAACCACTAAAACTGGTGTCAGGATTAGTGAGCTCCAACAAAACTGACTGGAATACGGCGCCCGAGTCTGTGACTGTTTAGCGACTTTAAATGAGAAACTATGAGAACTCTGCGTGATAACATCACTTGTGACGGCTATGACGTCATTGCTATAACGTCATTGTTGTGACGTCATGCTGATTGTTACGCGCGCAACTTTCTTATTAGTGTCCCTGTTTGAGTGTGTTGTTAGTGTGAAGTGTGAGTTGTTTACTTGAGTGATTATTTTGAGTTTGGTTTTTATTCTGGCAATGTTGGCTATGTATCATTGGAAATTTATCAAAGACTCGAAAGCTTGGCAAAAGCGACTTGAACGTGCTGTTTCTGGTCATCTGAAACGCACGTGAGAATATGAAAAATCACGTGTCACGATCATGCGAAATAAAGGGGCATCCGGCGCACACCGTTGAATAACCGCACGCTTTCATTATACCAGCTTTACTAGAGCGATTCATAATTTTCAAGATTTTATTTTTCTGTGGTGGAATGTTAATTTGAGTTTACGTTTGGCACTGAAATTGCTACAATTAGCGATCAGAGTTTTGTTTTTTCGAATAACTTTTCGCTCCTAATTCATATAAGTTTTAGAATTTGTGCTACGGCTGGTGAATATTTCTTTAGATCAATCAGAAGTTTTCTGTGTATTATACTGCTGATAGTAATTGTTTTAGGTTATTGTAAGTACTTCGAATAGTCCAAAACCTTGTTTCGTATTAATGATCCAAATATACCTTTTAAAGATATTAATTCCTTGAAATAACACTCAAAACAATAAAAAGATATTGAACAATTCGGCAAGGTTTTGGTTAATTCGGACCCGATTTCTATTTATTAAATCTGCGTGATGACTGCGTGATTACTGCGTGATTACTGTGCCTCTTCTTTAGCGCTACTCTTTGCATGGTCGTATCAGGGTATTCTTTCCATTCTGTTTTTCTTAAAGCTGCTTATGGTCAGCTCATTTCATGAAGCAAACTATGCACAATACTATCTGATCCTCCACAAGACACTCATCCTGATAGTGCACAAGACTATATGTCTGCCTCATGTCCGGGTATTGTTTTTAAACGGCGTATATTTATATTTGTTATCTGCATATTATTATCATGAATATTATATGAGTCAACAGTACCTTGTACACCCAAATTTGGGCTCATTGAGACCCACTTTGTATTTTCATTATTCTGTATGTGGTCCCCTGACTAATGACAAAGCTGCAATCAATTCAAATTTGCTGGTCATTAGATTTTAGAAACCAAAGTTTAATCTTCTACTCTTGAGTCGTGTTTTTCTTTCACTTTTTGATATTCCTTCCTGTTTTAAATTTTAAATATTCATAAATTTATAAAATCCGATATTTGTGTTGACGTTTAAACCTATATAAGCTTATAAACTATGGATATTATATGTGATTTCATCCTTTCAGCCAGTTAAAATTATTCAAGATTTGTAAATTTCCAACGCTTTTATCATATTTAACCAAAAACTGCGTTTCCATTGCATTTATATGTCTGTGAATACGATTTGAATTAAAATAATTTAAATGGAATGAGATTCAAATAACTCGTCGCACTTCAAGTAGCGGGGGTAATTACAATTACTAATTGAATTAGAAATGGAGTTAGTGTCCAGTGAAGTTTCTTTAAATTGTTAAAGTATACGTGTGCTGAATCAACGCTTATCAACTATAATACGTTAAACTGACCCGAATAATACGAATAGTATCAATATCATTACTGGGCGGCGCTCAGCCTGCATTCAGCCGAATATCTATAATTCTTTTATCTCGCTATTCTTTTATCTCTCTATCACTATGTTTATAAACATAATACTAATACATAGCCTGGGGTCCCCAGGTAATAGTATCATTGACATCAGAAATCAAAGTCTTTCAGTCGAGTTGAAATTTACGAACGTAAAATACATAATTTTAGGTCGAGTTTTCGAAGAATCGCGATTCTTCGAAAACTCGACCTAACTCGACCTTTCTGCCGATTAATCGGCTGAAAGGTTTTATTTTCGAGAGACTGGTGCCGTCCAGTAAATAGAAATCTAAATTTTAATATTTCTGTCCGACTTATCATTATCCGAACGTGCTTATATATACAAATCACTCTTGCACTGGAACTTATTGCAATGTTTCTATAAAAGGATCACCCCAGCAGTTGAAACCTCCTGCAATTATATGTGTATATATGATGTATAATTAAACGCCGAATCACCCCACATAACATACAATTTTATGTTACGAAACACTGTTTAGATCACGTGACATGGCCGTATAAGGAAGTAGGTCAAATTTATCGTTAGGGTTAAGAAGACGATTTACACAAGTATTTTGAAAGCTCCTGCTAATAATATCTTTCGTATCACTTATATGCTTTCAATATCCCCCTCCAGGTCGAAGAATTGGGTCTACTCACATGTAAATTTGAAACGAAACATAGTGATGACTGATGTGACAAATAATTACTCAGATTTACACGAGCCAAAAATTAAAAGATTTTCTTTGAATATCTCAGCCAACTCAGCAGCAGATTTGGTACGTGTTTAGACCAATTAAACACTGCCTAGATGTTCATATGACAAACTTGGTGATTTGGTCTTCAGAATATCGCAGGACGGTTTTTGGTTCCGCATTCGTGTCGATGCTAAAATGAATCATGTGATTCGCCCTTGTGTCCACCCTTTTGGGAAGGTAACGCCCTTGTGTCTTACGTCCTTGTGTCCTCTATACGCCCAAGTGTCTTCCGTTCTTGCGTTTCTACCGCCTTTGTGTCATATACCCGTCTTCCGCCCTCGTTTCCGGTTCCTAAAATTTGAAAATAAAAAAGAGTGATTTATCATCATCCTAAATAATTACCACTTTCATGAATAGTGATACTGATTCAGAGTAAACGCCAAAAATCTTCGATCTCGAAAGTTTTACATGATTTCTTTGATCAGTTCTATTGGCAATGATGTAGTTCTGAATATCTCGGGCAAATATATATATTTTTTATTTTAAATTTGAGATAGCCTAACAAAATTAACACTAGTCTTGTCCCTTCTTTGTTCATATAAATATAATATGTTCATATATAATATGATATGCAAAGCAAACCACAAAGAAATCATAATCATTGTTACCAATCACCACTCGTTTCTATATATTGAGCAAGTTAAATGAAATCAGTACTCAAAGAAATTCATGTTGAATTGCTATTACTAAAGCAAAAAGTGTTCAAAAGACTATCACTAATATTAATAACTTGCTGTCATTTCGTTGGAAAGAAAGGTGACACCTCTCATTGCGCTAACAACAGAGGCATTACATTAAGATCCACAGCCTCGAAGCTCCTGCAGATGATACTCCTGCGGAGACTTAGCAATGGCATGGAAAGATTCCTCCGGGAAAATCAAAGTGGTTTTAGACAGAATCGCTCATGTATTGACCAGGTTTATTCACTCCGCTGTATTATACACCAATGCATTGAGTATAATATCCCTCTGTACATTAATTTTGTTGATTTCAAAGCAGCTTTTGATTCAATTGACAGGCAGTTCATTTGGAGAAGTATGCAGCACTACGGCTTACCTGACAAGTACATTAGAATTATGAAGGCGTTCTTCACTCACACAGTTAGTGCTGTTAGGGTCAATGGAGAGGTTACAGGTTGGTTTGATGTCAACTCGGGTACTGGGCAAGGTGATATACAGGGACCACCAGTCTTCAACTTTTGTTTGAATTTTTCGGCATACCTTATGGAACTAAACAAGGTTATTAGCAAAGGGGCTTTATTACAGCTGCCAGCCCCCGGGGTAGAAGAGAAGCATCTTTTGGACACTGATTACGCTGATGACATGGCTATGTTAGATAACTCAAAAGAGGGGTTGCAGGAAACCACTGACCTTCTCTGCAAATACAGTGCCTATGCGGGTCTGAAGATTAATGCTGGCAAGACACAGAGCATGGTTGTCAGCAAAAGTGCATCGCAGAGGCCGTATTCTAAAGACGACACTATGGACATCAATGTGGAAGGTCTCCCAATACAGCAGGTCAGCAATTTCACTTACTTGGGTGCAATCATCAGTGCGAATGGAACAATTGACAAAGAACTTTCAGCTCGAATTCAAAAGGCCTCTGGGGCATTCTATCAGCTCAGCAGTATATGGTACAGTCGCAACATCAAGACTCCAACTAAAATCAGGATTTACAAAGCGGCTGTTCTCACTATACTGCTTTATGGAAGTGAGGTATGGAATACCACACAGACGCAGATGAAAAGATTTGAGGTGTTCCATCATAGATGTCTCAGGAGAATCCTGAAAATAAAATGGTTTTATCATGTATCTAATGCTGATGTACTTAAGCGGGCTAACATCGCCCCTGTTGATACTTTCGTACGAGCAGCTAGACTCCGATGGTTTGGCCATGTGGTGAGGATGCCAGAAGAAAGAATACCCAACTATCTTCTGCACTGGATCCCAAAGCATGGTAAAAGGTCAAGAGGTAGACCTCGGAAAAACTGGTTGTCATGTGTCCGGGAGGATGCAGCAATCTTCACAGGTGTCGATAACATCACGATAGAAGATGCAGAACAACAAGCTACAGACAGGGTTCACTGGAGAGGTCTAATACACCGGAGAAAGGAGTTACTTTGTGGTGCAGGCCACTCCAACGACTAGGAGGAGACCTTTTCAAGTACTAAATAATTACCACTTTCATGAATAGTGATACTGATTCAGAGTAAACGCCAAAAATCTTCGATCTCGAAAGTTTTACATGATTTCTTTGATCAGTTCTATTGGCAATGATGTAGTTCTGAATATCTCGGGCAAATATATATATTTTTTTATTTTAAATTTGAGATAGCCTAACAAAATTAACACTAGTCTTGTCCCTTCTTTGTTCATATAAATATAATATGTTCATATATAATATGATATGCAAAGCAAACCACAAAGAAATCATAATCATTGTTACCAATCACCACTCGTTTCTATATATTGAGCAAGTTAAATGAAATCAGTACTCAAAGAAATTCATGTTGAATTGCTATTACTAAAGCAAAAAGTGTTCAAAAGACTATCACTAATATTAATAACTTGCTGTCATTTCGACGAATAGTATGATTTCATGTATCATCATCAGCATCATACTAGGGTACGTAGGTAGACCACGATTTCACAACTATCATCTCTAATCTAAGTACTGCTTTAAAAGGTTCCTGGTATTGAAATTGAAACCACTTTTATTTTTACGGAACGTCTAAAATAAGTAATTTTGACTGTAGTTCGCGTAGTTTTCAATTAAACGTTTAAACTTAAAGGCCGGCAAAGGCCTACAAACTAGGGTACGTAGGTAGACCACGATTTCACAACTATTATCTTTAATCTAAGTTAAAGTAGTAGTAGTAGTAGTAAATCTTTCAAAGTACGAAATATCTCTTTAAAAGAGCATCCTAGGCACCTTATAGATATCATAACGCATAAAAAAGAAAACAAAAACATCAACCATCTTCTAACTTCTTCCATTCCTCCCTATCTAAAGCCAAAAATCTAAGGTCTTCGAAATCAGTCAAATTCTTAAGTCTAATATCAAGATTTCTACTAGTCAAGTCTTTTCTAATAACATCTAATAAGTTTAAACATGGTCTACCCCGTCTCCCTTCCATAAAAATATCAGAATTTATAGCAAATAACATAGAGGTGTATGCTGGTGAGTCTTCCTGTCCTCTTAAGATATGTCCTAACATTCTCCATCGAAACTTAGAGACTCTCACAGACAAGGGAGTGACATAACAACGAGCATAGAGTGCCTCATTAGAAATAACCCCAGTAGGCCATCTGATGTTGAGGATTCTTCGGAGGTGTTTGCGATGAGCAATATCAAGTTCATTCAACGAAGCTAGTGGTGCAGCCCAGGAGTTGCAGTTGTAGAGTAGAATAGAGACTACTTGTGCCTCGTAGATTTTGATCTTCCTTTGGACTGAAATCTTGCTCTTCATCCAAACTTTCTGAAATTTACTAAAGGCAACATTACCAAGGAATATTCGATTCTTGATATCCTTAACAGTGCACATCAACGATCCTAAAGTTTTGTTAGAGCGCCACTCTTCATCACCTCTATACACTTTTCCAACAATCACCTTGCGTTTAACAGTGGGTTTAGGATCTGCTAAATAAAAATGGACAAATTCAGTCTTGGAAGAATTGATATGAAGGTCCCACTGCTGGAATATATCTTTAGCGATAGGAAGCATTTCTTTGAGTGGAGCAAGTTCAGTGTTATTAAAGTCAATATCATCAGAGTATCCTGTTTCGAGTGGCATGAATTCTTCTGAGATAGGAGGATTAGGGATTGGATGATTTACTGGGTAAGGTGTTGATGATACTTGGGAGAGTACAGATCTGAGGTGAATAAGTGCAGCGGCTTCAACAACAGTAAATAGATTACCTGATAGTGCATCTCCTTGAAATGCTCCAGTTGTGCTTTGGAACTCAAGTTAAAGTACTGCTTAAAACTCAAGTTAAAGTACTGCTTTAAAAGGTTCCTGGTTTTGAAATTGAAACCACTTTTATTTTTACGGAACGTCTAAAATAAGTAAGTTTAACTGTAGTTCGCGTAGTTTTCAATTAAACTTTTAAAGGCCAGAAAAACTGCAAAGCTGGTTCGGTCGATTTCATTCTGCAGCAATAAGTGTTAGGTATCGCTTGTGCGCGGCACCCGACTACCATGAGCCTTATACTTATAAGTACATGTAACAACGTAAATTCTTCATAGTTTATTGTTATTTTTCCAAAACATGACCAGCATCTGAACTGAAATATTACTCACTATTAAAAGGCATTGGCGAATATAACCATGGTAACACCTGCTTCCTAATCCGACAGAGAGCTGAACAGTAGTTTTATGATAAGTTACAATATAAGCCAGTCATTAAAGAAGCTTTGCTTCTTGCACAAATATTAACAGTAGACCTTGAACAATAGTTTAATGTTAGTAAAGCAATTTTATTTTCATGTCCTCTTCTACATTTAAATTTTATCTTACGGTAAATCTTTCCACTCGGGTGATAACCAATGATATTGTCCGTATCCAACCAATTGATAAAAATATTGAAATTAAGGAGAGAATAAATACTTAGCAGCACCAGCTGAAGACGATAAACTGTAGAGTAAATAATTCTGACCAAATTATCGTTGACATTAGTTGATGACAACGTCAGAACTGAAAGTTTCAACAGTAGTATGAGTAAAAAGAATGGCTATAAGCGAGGATTGAACACCTGCTACAGGACGCTGGGAGAATGTGGCGGGCACCTTTTTTATTAATTATAATTTACTGAACTGGTTCATTATTACTTCTTTCTCTCTTCTTTAAGAGGCTTTTTTAAAGAGGTCTTTTTTGAGAGACTAAACAATAAAATCGTTTAAGTTTTGGCCTGGTCTTAGAATATAAAACATTTTAAACTGTGGTACTGGTAGTACAGGTACAGACAAAGTTACGAAACTTGACACCTTTTGTTTTGCGTAAAACTTAAACTGAATGTAAGTTACATTCAGTGTAACTACCCTTCATTGATAGTGATACTGATAACAAGGTTCACATTTCTTCGACTCAATACTGAAGTTCGATAACAAGACTGGAATATTTGAAAATAATGGAAGGGAAAATTCCGCAATGTCTCAATTTTCACCTTTTTAATTGGTTGGAACCCTTTTATAATAACACGTTTAAATTAAATCTTTGTTTACTCGACATAATTCACTTTTTGAGCAATCACAGTTGTTTCATGAACTTGTTCAGAAATTATAATTTTTCACATTTTTGATAGTTGCTATCGGCCTTGTTTAAATGACCGTAGGGCATTTGCTAACTTCCGATTTCCGCATGACAATCATTCGAATTTAAAACGTTTATATTTGAATGATCGCCACGCAAAATCCTTAAGTGATAACTTCAGCTTGTCTTAATATACAAAGCTATTTTTGTTGTACTAGGGTTCGTTGGGATTTATTTAGCTGTCAAATTTTAAATCCAGTACGATTTTCGTGGACCAATTGGAAACAACTTGTTATTGAATCAATAACCTGCGCTACCAAACAATTATTAACGCAAACAATATATTTCATAATCAATTTGTTAATAATTTGTTATCCATACTATAAGTATAACATAATTATAACAGATCATGGCATATAGATCAAGAAAGTCGCGAGAGCTTTCGATTTCTCAACCTGAATTCTTTAACTTACATTTAAATGGTCTCTGCATTTATCATCGGCAACAATCGAGATAATTAAATTTGTCCATAAGAATCTAACGATGTCGGTGGCATTTTAGTGGGTACCTGGTTATACTTATAGTACTAATACTATTGCTTACAATTACCTAGACGAGTTACCAACCCAGTGGATCTCCCAACGCCTCGAATTGCTGCAGGCACACCGCACACTTGAAGCTTTATCTTCATATCACGTCAAGAAATTCGCAGATTAAAATGAGATTTTAGTGAATAGATTAAGATGCCGTAGTGTGCTGTAATGACTTATACCGGTGTCCTGAAGTCATGGTTGATGAGAACCCAGCTCCACCCTCTACCCGGAGAAAGTTTCGCAACTCTAATTCCCTTTATAATCGTTTTCAACCGCCCAGTCCGTCCATTATAGATCCATTATAAATTTCTCTCCATTCTCATTTGTCCACCCGAACACAACTGTCGAGCACCGGCGAGTGATTTCTCAGCTGACACGACCGCTCTGTAATTAGCTGAAATACTTAAATTTGCCAGTAGCTGACCGACAATTACTCATTTGGATCATGGGATTTAATGACTCCATATATTAGTCTAGAGTTAAAGGACAGGATTCCTCTCACTCGGTAACCAGTATAACTATAGTATTAGTTGTAAGGTCACAGCTGCATTCCTCCCTCCCACTGCACCTAGTGGGTCAGTGCTAGTGTTAGGGAGTTGCTGTCATTGCAGTGTCAGAGTTTAGAGTCTCTCGATTCAATCATTTGACTCATAACTCTCATCGGTCCCAGAATTGAGCAATTCTGATAATCTGAGCTTTAGAGAGACAAATGTTGCTCAACGTGACTCCTTTGGTGGGCCTTCCGTTTCAAAAGATCTCCTAATTTAACACCATTGTCATATTGCCCACGTATTATTTAATGTATTGACCGGAGTTGGCTCTTAAAGTTATATTCATACTAGGTCCCATTCGATTTACGTCTTCTCTTGTCCACCTAACCTGGAGTAAGACAATTCAACCATCACAATCCACATGCATTAATCATTTAGATGCAAGGGCACAAGGTATTATTTTAATCCAGCAAGTGAAGATTGATCAGCTTATCCTCAAGATGGTCGTGTTTATATTTTCCAGTAACAGCTTTTGCTGCAGTTGAGCTGATGTAGTATTTTCTTGCCAATTCCAAAGATTAAGCCATTATAAAACTCAGTGAATTTATAATTTGTCGTAAGAGTTAGACTAAGGAGCTTGAGCTAAGTGGTGTAATGGTTCAAACTTCAGGCTTGTATCTTTAAATTTATGGTCAAGCTACACAGTTTAGGGATCATTTGGAGGTGGTCAAGGTGGTCAATGGTCAAAATAAAGCGCAGTGGATTATTTACAGTTACACACCAGTATTGTGATTCTAATAATATTAAGAATTGAAGGCTGCTCCCTTATCAATATTTGATCTATAATTGAAACTTCTCGTTGTTATTGACCAAAGCCATCACACGTGCAAGAGTCCGTTATAACCCTGATCAATGACTGATGCTAATTATTGCTGATGAAATACTAATAGATAAATTTGGATACTTTGGAACTCCCATTTGTGACTGTGTCGTATCATCTCTCTCCAGCACTTACAATTTGCATTAACCATGAACCTAATCACTATCTAGGACTACAAATATCTAGCATTACAAAGGAGGCTACGTTATTTGAAATTGGTTAAATGCAGGGCCTATGACGTTCAAAATTTAATCATAGTACAACAGGGCCAGAGCGCTCCATTCTTATACATCAGCAAGCCTGCCAAGATCTCTGTCATTCAACTCCCACCTGCACAACATCTTCATATTCATGAACTAATTTAAAGATCTACATAATTGTAATTTGTACCCCCCAAATCTTTGCGCAATCTTAGATTGACCCGCCTTCATTGTGTTTAAATAAGATTAGGGTCTGGAAGATGGTTCATAACAATGACTTTCAATTTAATTCACCACGCTTGTTAAATTTAATAACTGAACATTATGTTTATTGATACTTAAAGCGTTATTTTCCTGTAAATTTCTATCAATAATCAACTAAGATTGCCGGCCCAAACAGTATTAGACCGGCTTGCATCCCCATTCCCCAGGCTTGTGTTGCTTTTGACAGAGCAGGTTCTACAACAAATAAAGTACAGCTTACTTACTTTATTTTTGTTTGGAAAAGAAATTCGTGTGCACTATCTGTTACTATACTATACTACTACCTATACTACTACCTTACTATACTACTACCTTAAGCACATATTAGTTTAACTTAAATTAATTAATAGCAGCAGCAGGGATGAGGGTATTGATAGTAGTAGCGTGTTTCCTTCTCTTCCTTGGCCTGTCTGACTGCTGGGCACGTAGGAGACGTCTTCGTTCTGGCAAGAAAGTGAAACGAGGTAAGATAATTAATATTATACTTTTATTAGTAATATAAGTGTAATGTTATTACACTTTCTCTATAATTTATAACAGGTTGATTCTGTAACTTTGTTATTGTGACATATTGGATAAACCAGAGCTGGACAAGTTTCCCTGGTACAATTAACAAAAGAACAAAGTTGAAATTGAACTCGAAACAATCTGGCATCTTGAGTAAACATTTTTTGGGTCCCATAATATTCCATGTTTTCTCAGAAGTGTCACGTGAGAACAGAGCTGTGTCGGTAGCAGTGGAGAATGGGGTGAGAGTATCTCTGGAGCCGTGTGAGGAGGACATCCAGGCTTGTGGATTTACAGTGCAGTGTTCTTGCTGCAGTAAACCTAGCTTTTACGGGTGTGGAGGTAAGGGTGTTCGTTGTTTTTTACTTTACTGTACGAATGAGAAATAACATTAACACTTAAATAGATTTAGATTTGGTAAGTTTGTAACTTTAAAATTTCGATTTCCCAAGTCATGGTCTAGCGGCCAACTCCAGTTTCCAATCTAAGTTTGAGTTAGCCCCAACTGGGCTAATCAGGCTAGGCATATGACATTTAACCAAATGAGATCAATTTGTTCAGTTTAGTTGTTAGTTGTTAACAATTATTCTTGATATATTCAACATTTTCAGCTACTGGCCTAATAGGAGCTCCCTCAATACAGCTTCTGCAGATGGTAAAGCGCGATGCTGGCACTCACGATGGAGGTTAGCCAATCTAGAACTTTCACTATCATTCCTCCATTAGTTACTTCCTAAATCAGTCTAGAACTTTCACTATCATTCCACCATTAGTTACTTCCTAAATCAATCTTTATATTACCATTTGAGGCATTTCTTGATAGGTTAGAAAATCTCAAACGCTATCCATCATTCTAAAATTAGTTATATGTCAACGGATTCAATTACGACGGAAGTTAAAAATCTAAAAAGGTAACCATCCTTCCATGATCAGTTATATTACTTCCTAAATCAATTAATAAATACTCAATATGTCACAATCACGTGATAACATATTATTATAATTATACGTATAATCAATAATCATTATCTCATTAATAACTTTTCAGATGAAGCTGGATGTCATCTGAGATCAGTTTTGTACAATGGTGAACATCTTTGTGTTCCTGGAAATATTGCCTCGATGCTTTTTATAGCCCATCAGACAAGTAAGCAATCTTTTAATCCCAACAATTCTGGAGGCAGTGCAGTGGTTATCCGATATTATATCAGATTTAATTAAAATAGATTTAGTAGAAATGAACGCTATAACGTTTCCGCCGACTGATTGATTTCATTTCTGAGGAAAGATCTACTTCTGGGGGTGCTCCTCGGTCACATGGCGGTGTTGATTTGTCAATGTCGCTGAAAAATTTGAAATCAGAACGCAATTAGGTCTTGAAATAATATAAAGGACAAACCAGATTTATTTCTATAATATCGGCCTCATTTGCCGACGGCCCCTGACAAATTTCTCAAACGATTTCAATTCCACAGTTCCATTTTACGGACATGTGACTATGAAAGCTGTCACATGACATCGTTCAGATTGCAGACATTGCCCTCCGCAAACTACCCTATATATAAAATTTGATAGATTGTGAAATCCTAAATTTTAATTTTGCATATTCCTTTATAAGGTCACATTTTACTAAGAAATGTTAATTCTACGATCACAACGATTAAATTAGTTCAGGACCAATTTCCCCTTAGAGTTATAGCTGGGATTTCGCGCTTCTCCACAATTGCTCCCACTTTAACCGAAACCAGATTAACGACTATAATTTATAATCAATGTAGCTCTAGTCTAATGGGTGTGAATAGTGATACGACTAGCTTCCTGGCTTTTAGTTAATCAATAAGTAGTTAGTAGATTTCTGTGAACGCAGAACGATCAATGGTACCTTTTTGTGATGGTAATTTGGTAATGCTGGTGCTTCATGGTGGTATGATCGATCAAGATAATATATAGAATTATTCAAGAATGCATTTATTTCTACTCTCGATTCCGTGACCGTATCTAGATTCTAGTTTCATAACATTTATAACTACGAAGAAAGGATTCGATACAATGTGAGACCAAGGTCCTAGAAGAACTCAAAATAGAAAAATTGACATTTCGTTTTATTTTTCGTCACCAATCGCAAATTTTTAGCCAAATTGTCTACAACAAACTAGGTGACCCATGAATTAGCCAGGTGTTGTGTACTAATCAGCACCTTATCACGTTCCGAGATAATTACTAAAGCTGTTCGTTAGCTTACCTGCAATTTACTATCTATAATCTATAAATGTTCTGCGGCAAACTGTGTCTTAATTTCTGCAAATAAACCCATGTACCGAGATTGAATATTATGTTTTTACATCTTCGCAATGCATTGGCCACCAGACCACCTTGCTTTAATAATAACTTAAATCTCTCCATGCCAATGCCACTCAGATTTGGAAGCCTGTAGATAATATAATGGTATTAGAGCTTTTCATCTATGTTTAACTTTAATAGTTTGCTGTTTGTAAGAAAGTAAACTTATTTCTCACTCCCAAATATTCATCCCAATGGTACCCTTGTGCTACCCCCGAATGTCAAAATATGCATACCGAACGGTACTCTGGTCAGCCCCTGGCGGTACTCTGGTCAGCCCCTGGCGGTACTCTGGTCAGCCCCTGACGGTACTCTGGTCAGTCCCTGACGGTACTCTGGTCAGTCCCTGACGGTACTCTGGTCAGTCCCTGACGGTACTCTGGTCAGTCCCTGACGGTACTCTGGTCAGTCCCTGACGGTACTCTGGTCAGTCCCTGACGGTACTCTGGTCAGTCCCTGGCGGTACTCTGGTCAGCCCATGACGGTACTCTGGTCAGCCCCTGACGGTACTCTGGTCAGCCCCTGACGGTACTCTGGTCAGCCCCTGACGGTACTCTGGTCAGTCCCTGACGGTACTCTGGTCAGCCCCTGACGGTACTCTGGTCAGTCCCTGACGGTACTCTGGTCAGCCCCTGACGGTACTCTGGTCAGTCCCTGACGGTACTCTGGTCAGCCCCTGACGGTACTCTGATCAGCCCCTGACGGTACTCTGGTCAGTCCCTGACGGTACTCTGGTCAGCCCCTGACGGTACTCTGGTCAGTCCCTGACGGTACTCTGGTCAGCCCCTGACGGTACTCTGGTCAGCCCCTGACGGTACTCTGGTCAGCCCCTGACGGTACTCTGGTCAGTCCCTGACGGTACTCTGGTCAGCCCCTGACGGTACTCTGGTCAGCCCCTGACGGTACTCTGATCAGCCCCTGACGGTACTCTGGTCAGCCCCTGACGGTACTCTGGTCAGCCCCTGACGGTACTCTGGTCAGCCCCTGACGGTACTCTGGTCAGCCCCTGACGGTATTCTGGTCAGCCCCTGACGGTATTCTGGTCAGCCCCTGACGGTACTTTGGTCAGCCCCTGACGGTACTCTGGTCAGCCCCTGACGGTACTCTGGTCAGCCCCTGACGGTACTCTGGTCAGCCCCTGACGGTACCCTTGTCAGCCCCTGACGGCTTCAGAGCACGGTGAAATAATGGCAGCATGTTGATGTACAGAAATAACGGTCATTGAATTTTAAATAGGTTTAATTGACGATGAGTTGAGTTAAATTGTACACATCCAGCTGCACGTGTGGGGTGCACAGCTGCAAAATAATAAAGTAGTTGAACTCTGTACTGAGGTCAACAATGATTATATTTCAATTCAATTTTTCGTTTGAGTGATCCTAAGTCCAGCTGTGTTGTGGAGGCTGGTGTACATGCAGTGTCACGTGCTAAATGTGTAGTGTCACGTGCTAAATGTACAGTGTCACGTGCTAAATGTGCAGTGTCACGTGCTAAATGTGCAGTGTCACGTTCTAAATGTGTAGTGTCACGTGCTAGACATGTGCAGTGTCACGTGCTTAATGTGCAGTGTCACGTGCTAAATGTGCAGTGTCACGTGCTAGATGTGCAGTGTCACGTGCTAAATGTGCAGTGTCACGTGCTAAATGTGCAGTGTCACGTTCTAAATGTGTAGTGTCACGTGCTAGATGTGCAGTGTCACGTGCTTAATGTGCAGTGTCACAGGCTAAATGTGCAGTGTCACGTGCTTAATGTGCAGTGCCACGTGCTAAATGTGCAGTGTCACGTGCTAAATGTGCAGTGTCACGCGCTAATTGTGCAGTGTCACGTGGCTAAAGCTCAAAAGATAGATTCTTGATATCTCTTCCGTTACGAAAATCAGCTGGTTCATAGGATTAATGAAGAAGATTCGCATACACGATTTATAATAAAGTAGAAACGTAATCGAAAGACAAACTGAACAAATGAAGGGTTCGTCTTGAAACGAGCTATATATAAGAGTATAACGTAGCGCTCGACTCCAAATAGAATTCAAATAAAAATGCGCTCCGGTAGTTTCAACTCCCAGCAGCTGGGAGTTGGAAAACTGAAATTCACGTTACTGTCGCTGTGAGAAGCCTTATTGAGTGCGCGGCGCGGCACAGTAACGCATCGCGCTACAATGTCACGTGCTAAATGTGCAGGTGCTAATTAAGATTTGTTTTACTGGCGCTATAACTCGGAGAACAGACTAGCTGTTACTTGAAGAACAATTTAGATTATCTGTTGATTCACGATGTCAATCCTTCGCAGCTCGGTGAGGCACAGTGGTGCATCTCGCCGATCTACCGAAGTGGTGGTTGCGAGAAGCATTATTTGATGCGCGCGCGACCCAGTAGTGCATCGCGCTACAAGATTATCTGCAGCTTTAAATCTCAACTAATTATAGTGAAACCTAAAGTGATGAAAAACAGACTAAAAGTTGAGATGAATTCAAAAATAGGGTATCTAAATTTACACACCGTCGCGCTCCACTGAGGATAATAATTATATTTGTACTAATAATATTAATTATACTTATTGAAACTAACTTAACATATTGTCTCCTCTGTCAGGTGAAGGAGACTGCTATCCAGTGTTCCCACTAAACTGTAAGAGTGACCTGGCTGATGAAACTATTTATTACCAGTACCTCTACGTCCCTAAAACACATGTCCTGAGAACTCTCTCCGCTCTCCAAGCAGCTGGACATTTCTGCCAAGTAAGTCTCTTGATTTGTTGGCGATTCAAAATGAAGATATTCATATCCAATAATTTAGAGTATTAATAATGAATATGATTATTGATTATGATGTTGTAAAGTGAAAGTGTTAAGCAACGTCTACTACCATTTTCTCACTGATTCTATTCACAGTCAATTTGAAATTTTCTTTTTAAAAAATGTAAGGCTTACGAACTAAAATTAATCATTTCAGATATCAGAACAAGAAACACAAGGCGGGATTAAATGTGTTATTTAGATCACGTGATAAGAAGACATCCCTGCAACTAACACCTGACCACCCATCATCTACTAACACCTGTTGCGATTAACACCGTTTTTGCTCTCAATGCGCTATATTTGGACTGATATTGATAATATCTGATGCAGATGTCACATGTTACAAATTCACTTCGCTGTGAAAAATGTGTTGCTTTTTTTCCCTCTGCAACACTGCGAAGCATGTCATTTTTTCGCTTACATCATCGTACAGAATTTCAAGTTTATCTTTAAGACACTGTATTTGTTATTGATATTTATTTATTTAATTCTTTGATTGCTATTTTATTGTTTAGAATTGTGTAATGCTGGAAGTGTGTTTTACATTATTTTATTGTTGTTCTCCCTGCCAGCACGCGTCTTTTATTTGTCATATTACAATCTTTATAAATTGGTAAGTACGTCAATCTCAGAGCGAGAGCGAGAAAGATAGAGAGGTATAAAGAGAAGTGGCTGGGAAGGCGGGGTAAATTAAAAAGGAGTGTGTCGAAAGGAAGAAAAAGGATATTTTATTTTCGACTTCACTAATTCACTATAATAATTCACAATTTATTATTTATAAGACGTACAGGTTGCTTAAATAAAATACACATTTTGATGATTATCATAACAATAACATAATTTCACTATTAGAAATTTACTACATTCGCACAGTAATATAAACAAAGAGTTTTACCAACGAAAAACTGAAATGAAATTGGAAATTGAAATGCAAAATGAGAAATAATTCGTTCTGGTGCAATCGAGATAAATCTTCAATATGAATTTTTATAAAACTAGGGTTAAAAATCCTTCCATTCAAATCATGGTAAAAATCATAAATTCGAATCCATATTTAATACCATACAATATTGATCCAACGTCCTGTTCAAATTCTATTCTGAAAGTATCATTACCGTCATTACCGACATAAACCAAAACATAGTTGCCGCCCTTTGGTTATTCTGTACTTTAAGTACATGCAACAACAAACAAATTTCCAAAAGAAATTCATTCATAATTTTGCAAACGTGGCACAATTCGACCTGTCACCATCAAATTCAATGAAATCTCCACTCAAATATGTGTATTTAAATGAGCACTGTTATAATTCTGACGCAATGACGGATTGAATTTTTCGTGACAATTTCGCCATACATTTTCCTTGAGAGTAAAAAGTTCATACTATATACTATCTTTCCACGGAAGTTCACAGCTATTCATCTCTGAGAACAGAAAGGTAGTACTTCATTAATTAATTAATTAATTAATTAGATAATTAATTAACCCTTTGTCTTTGTGCCTCGTTTCTTATTTAAGATCTTTAGAACTTACAAAGAAGATGTTGTGAACAAGAACGGAAATAATGCTGCCAACCAAGGGTGCGAACAGGAATATCTGGAGAAAAAGTGATTATTTTATTTAAATAATCTGTAATATTGTACATATTAATCGACTGGTGACTATTGTGAAAAGACCAAAGGGATAGATGAGATGTTTATTGGGTATAATTATGTTATATTGCGACAGTTTGCCGTTATCAGAAATAAGACATACAAATAGTTCAACAGACAAATCTCCAGAAAGGAAACGGAGTTACAAGTGCGATGGGACAAATGTATGAAACAGCAATGAGGCAATGGAAATCAATTATTTCCTGGAATTGTAAATTACCAATCTTTTATGATGTATCAGTATGTGGACTGTAGAAGAGTTCAATAATAGATTTAGTCCTACAATCTACATATAACAGTAAATAAAATTTAATCGCCCTTACATTTGGTAACTAGTTAAAAATAATGACCAGTCGCCTAATTAATCAATTTATTATTTAAACTTAATTAGTTAATTGATGAACAAATAAATACAAACCAGGATTTCGCTGCTAGCTTGCCCAGTGATTATGTTCCAGACAGATCCACGTACGGGGTTGATGCCACAGTTGGTGAATGGAATCTGAAATATTATTTAATATAATATGGTACCTGTAGTTTAATATGAGTGATCGATAACACGATGATGATGATTAATCACTCTACACTCGACTGTCACGTGACTTTTTCGACCCGTTCTCTAGCTGGTCCTGAACGACTATTCGAAACCCTAACCCTCTAATCTGATCTCAACCCTAACCCTAACACGATCCTTAATAAAAGCATATGCTGAAACCCTAACCCTAACGATAAATTAAACTAACTTCCTTATACGGTCATATCACGTGATCGAGACAGTTTTTCGCGAATATCTCGTCAGGGGAGCATTTTAACCCTATGTCGTGGGGGTGATTCGGAATCAGCGTCCGAAAATACATCGATTGAAGTTGATTTGAACTGTCGGGGGCCCTTTTAGAACAATCTCGAAGATCGACTGTAGAGTGATTTAGCACGCTCGATAACACGACGGGGATCTATAGCACGGCCGCGAAACGCTGGCGGCTAAAAGCTCGAAAGTGCAATAGAATAACAATAAAAGCTCAAAATTAGGGGGCGATATTTTTACGGCTAGGTTAAAGGTGGAAATCTGGTTAGGTCCTCTCTTTAGGTAAACTTTTAAATACAAATGCATATTGGCATTGCATATTCAGATAATATCTTGAGCACTGCTCAGTCCATTTCTACAATCGTTGGTCTGTATGGTGCAATTAACACCGAGAGGAATAGTAAAACTCCGATTTGCCGAACAATTTCGGGGAAATCGAAAAGAAATTAAAAATATGACAGTAAATTGGGGTGCGGTTAATGAGGGTTTAAGTGTACTTACCAAAAAGATGTGCATTACAAGAATGGCAATGCCGATTGAAAGGGGTTGGAGGTAAGATGCGGCGTGTCCTTTCTGTTCATTGATAGTCGAGAGGATAGTAAGGATCAGGAACATTGTGCCAAACATCTCCAGGAAGAACGCTTGTGCAGAGTTGATGCCAACACCGACAGCATTGACCCCAGCAATATCACCCGCAATATAGTCAAAGTTTCCAAGTGCGTAAAGGAGACCTAGGGAGGGATCAGACTCGTTAATAAAGAAGAGTTAAACCTGGTATAATAATAATACATAATAATGTAATAATTATGTAATATTGATAGGTGAAAATTCTGTTTTTCCTCCACTAGCGAGCTCAACAAATGAAACAAGCAGTTAATCACACAAAAATATTTTCGATGGTCTACATCTTTATCAGTTCAATAATGTAATATAATTATAATAATAATTGGTATTGACTATTGATAGCTTGGGTGACAAATAGTTAGATTACGCCACAGTTCAGAAACGAAGCGAGAAATACAAATGAAGTTAAAAATCATGAGAGGGTTGGGTTTATAGAGTTAGGATTACGGTGAGGGTGATGGTGAGGGTGAGGGTGAGGGGTAGTGTTAAGGTTGTCTGTTAGCCAAATTATTTTAACATAAACTTTGTTCAAAGTTTAACAAGATTTCTAAATACCTGCCCCGGCGAATCCGCCAGCGAACTGAGCAATAATGTAGACAATGGCGACGATGAGACTGATTCTTCTGTCGAGGAAGAGAGCGAAACTCACAGCAGGGTTTACATGACCACCGCTTGTTCCCGAGAGGATATGGATAATCCCACCGATTCCTGGCGAGATAAATCATTATAAAAGTAACTGTAGTAATATTTTCGTTGTTTCACGGAATTGCGACAGATTTTAAGCGAACAAATATTTTATTTGTGCTAAAAAACAGTAAATGATAATGGTTTATAATCGCTCCTTACCAAGACCAAAAGCAAGAGAGATACTCAAATAGTAGGCGGGACTTGCCGATTCAAGGGCCACAAGAGCTCTGTGGTTAGCAGATCCTACGCAGAAGATAATTAGGAACATTGTTCCCAAAAACTCAGCTCCAGCCTTTTGTAGGAGACAAAAGTTTATGTCGTCACCTCCCAAACTGAACGACCTTGTCTGGCCGGATACTTTGTGTTATAGACAAAAAAGAGCTACTTGTAATCTTGTATCGCGAAATTTGGAACTTTGTCAATTTCAACGTAATTTAACTAATATAAGTCTAACTTAGACTTAGTTAGATAACGTTGAAATTGGCGGGGTTCCAAATGTATTTGTGCGTTTTTATGTTTTCTGAGCCATCTGTTATATTATTTTATTTGAAACAGTCACTTAGAGTCTAACTCTAAGTAACTATTTTAAATAAAATAAAATAACAGATGGTGCATAAAACATAGAACTTCAACATTTTCGAAGTACATAATCAAAGTTTTTAATTCAGTGTAATTATTTAACTCATTATTAACGTGATACAGTGTAAAAACTAAAGAAACTATCTTTGACTATTTATTTTATTTGACTAGATTCATTATATTATTATTACATTGATTTGCCGTGCAACAATTATGATTCACATTTGCGTTCACATTTGTGTACGCAATAAAAAGATCCATTAGGGACAAAACTCTTACAAGGGTCTTTCAAACAATCAATCAAATATCAATCAACCAATGACAAGGAAATAAACCAAGGACGCCGGGCACAATCTAAAACTTACCTTACTCTTCGACTTGGCCCCTTCATTTTGAACTTCAGTGTTAACATCACCTAGATCGACCTCACCCATTGTGATATCCTTAACTATAAAGTGTATCTTTTTAGTTTAAAAAAGTGATTAAATAATTCCTAAACTTACCATAAAATTTGTCTAAGTTATGCAAGCCTCTGAGTAATTAATTTATCCATGTCGCGACATGTCGGTAGCAAGCTCCAACGGTAGACTGATTAAGATACTATTGCTCTGAAGAAGAGACCGAGATGACCTGAAATAATATTACCACTATAGGGTGTCACGCACAATTTGGCTATAGGATCTAAAAAATTCCAGAATTTTCAATTCTGCACGCCTTATCAATAAAACTGACATCCTATTCCTAAACGTACGTAGCACGGAAAAGTATTTGGGGAATACTATCAACTTATCAGATCATGATAGCTCTACTACAATTATAAATTATGTGACGTATCGTTATAGTTATAGTTATACTGATAAGGAAGTTATTTGATGATGCAAAATCTTGAAATTTCAAATATTTGTAAAAATATGTAGACTGGATCAAATTCAAATAGGATATGTATGAAGTAGCATTAATGAGATAAGAATTTACTCGTTTAATTCAGTGCCGACAACAAATAATTACAAAACCTTAGGATCAAGGGAGGATATTCAAAATTGAATTTATTTCGCACGATTCATTTAAACCGCCAATCAATATCAAACTCAAACAAAACAATCAACAATGAATCGCGCAACTAAAAACTGGAACTCCACGACGCGCAAACAGTAAAGATGGTTATAATTTACTTTGCACGTGCTGATTTGCACGTGCTGAAGTGATGTACCATGAAAATCACGCGCCTCATTTCATTATTAAAACTTCACGCGTATCATTAGTATTACAACCATCGTGCATTGGGCATTTTTTGCTTACATCATCGCACAGAATTTTAAGTTTATCTTTAATACACCGTATTTGTTATTGATATTTATTTATTTAATTCTTTGATTGCTATTTTATTTTTTAGAATTGTGTAATGCTGGAAGTGTGTTTTACATTATTTTGTAGTTGTTCTCCCTGCCAGCACGCGTCTTTTATTAAAGTCATATTACAATCTTTATAAATTGATAAGTGTGCGAGAAAGATAGAAAAATAAAAAGGTAGAGAGAAGGGGCCGGGAAGGTGTGGTAAATTAAAAAGGAGTGTGTCGAAAGGATGAAAAAGGATATTTTATTTTCGACTTCACTAATTCAATATAATAATTGACAATTAATTATTTATAACTATAAGTACAGGTTACTTAAATAAAATACACATTTTGATGATTATCATAACATAATTTCACTATTAGAAATTTACTACATTCGCACAGTAATATATATACATCGAGTTTTAACAACAAAAACTGAAATGAAATTGAAATGCAAAATAAGAAATAATTCGTCCTGTTACAATCGAGATAAACCTTCAATATGAATTTTAATAAAACTAGGATTTAAAATCCTTCCATTCAAATCATGGTAAAAATCAGAAATTCGAATCCATATTTAATACCTACCATACAATATTGATCCAACGTCCTGTTCAAATTCTATTCTGAAAGTATCATTACCGACATAAACCAAAACATAGATGCCGCCCTTAACTTTGGTTATTCTGTACTTTTAAGTACATACATAACATGCAAAGAAAAAAGTTTAATATTTTCAAAATTTTCAAAAGATTCATTCATAATTTTGCAAACGTGCCACAATTCGACCTGTCATCATCAAATTCAATTAAATCTCCGCTCAAATATTTGCCTTCAAATGAGCACTGTTATAATTCTGACGCAATGACAGGTTGAATTTGTCGTGACAATTTTGCCATACATTTTCCTTAACAGTAAAAAGTTCATACTACTACTAGTACTATACTATCTTTCCACGGACGTTCACAGCTATTCATCTCTGAGAACAGAAAGGTAGTATTTCATTAAGTAATTAATTAATTAATTCATTAACCCTTTGTCTTTGTGCATCGTTTCTTATTTCAGATCTTTAGTAACTTACAAAGAAGATGTTGTGAACAAGAACGGAAATAATGCTGCCAACCAATGGTGCGAACAGGAATATCTGGAAAAAAGGGATTATATTAATCGACTGGTGACCATTGTGGAAAAGACCAAAGGGATAGATGAGATGTTTATCGGGTATAATTATGTTATATTGCGACAGTTTGCCGTTATCAGAAATAAGACATACAAATAGTTCAACAGACAAATCTCCAGAAAGGAAACGGAGTTACAAGTGCGATGGCACAAATGTATGAAACAGCAATGAGGCAATGGAAATCAATTATTTCCTGTAAATTACCAATCTTTTATGATGTATCAGTATGTGGACTGTAGAAGAGTTCAATAATAGAATTAGTCCCACAATCTACATACAACAGCAAATAAAATTTAATCGCCCTTAAATTTGGTAAGTAGTTAAAAATAATGACCAGTCGCCTAATTAATCAATTTATTATTTAAACTTAATTATTTAAATAATGAACAAATAAATACAAACCAGGATTTCGCTGTTAGCTTGCCCAGTGATAATGTTCCAGACAGATCCACGTACGGGGTTGATGCCACAGTTGGTGAATGGAATCTGAAATATTATTTAATATATGGTACCTGTAGTTTAATATGAGTGATCGATAACACGACGGGGATCTATAGCACGGCCGCGAAACGCTGGCGGCTAAAAGCTCGAAAGTGCAATAGAATAAAAATAAAAGCTCAAAATTAGGGGGCGATATTTTTACGGCTATGTTAAAGGTGGAAATCTGGTTAGGTCCTCTCTTTAGGTAAACTTTTAAATACAAATGCATATTGGCATTGCATATTCAGATAATATCTTGACCACTGCTCAGTCCATTCCTACAATCGTTGGTCTGTATGATGCAATTAACACCGAGAGGAATAGTAAAACTCCGATCTGCCGAACAATTTCGGGGAAATCGAAAAGAAATTAAAAATATGACAGTAAGTTGGGGTGCGGTAAATGAGGGTTTAAGTGTACTAACCAAGAAGATGTGCATTACAAGAATGGCAATGCCGATTGAAAGGGGTTGGAGGTAAGATGCGGCGTGTCCTTTCTGTTCATTGATGGTCGAGAGAATAGTCAGGATCAGGAACATTGTGCCAAACATCTCTAGGAAGAACGCTTGTCCAGAGTTGATACCAACACCGACAGCATTGACCCCAGCAATACCACCCTCAATATCGTCAAAGTTTCCAAGTGCGTAAAGGAGACCTGAAGGGATTAGACTCGTTAATAAAGAAGAGTTAAACCTGGTATTATAATAATATATAATAATGTAATCGTAATAATAATGTAATATAATAAAAATTGGTATTGAATATTGATAGCTTAGGTGACAAATAGTAACATTATGCCACAGTTCAGAAACGAAGCGAAAAATACAAATGAAGTTAAAAGCCAAATTGTTTTAAACATAAATTGTTCAAACTCAAAGTTTAACAAGATTTCTAAATACCTGCCCCGGCGAATCCGCCAGCGAACTGAGCAATAATGTAGACAATGGCGACGATGAGACTGATTCTTCTGTCGAGGAAGAGAGCGAAACTCACAGCAGGGTTTACATGACCACCGCTTGTTCCCGAGAGGATATGGATAATCCCACCGATTCCTGACGAGATAAATCAGTATAAAAGTAACTGTAGTACTAGTAATATTTTCGTTGTTTTACGGAATTGCGACAGATTTTAAGCGAACAAATATATTTATTTGTGCTAAAGAACAGATTTTGGTAAATGACAATGGTTTATAATCGCTCCTTACCAAGACCAAAAGCAAGAGAGATACTCAGATAGTAGGCGGGACTTGCCGATCCAAGGGCCACAAGAGCTCTGTGGTTAGCAGATCCTACGCAGAAGATAATTAGGAACATTGTTCCCAAAAACTCAGCTCCAGCCTTTTGTAGGAGACAAAAGTTTATGTCGTCACCTCCCAAACTGAACGACCTTGTCTGGCCGGATACTTTGTGTTATAGAAAAAAAAAGAGCTACTTGTAATCTTGTATCACGAAATTTGGAACTTTGCCAATTTCAACGTAATTTCAACGATACAGTGTAAAGAAACTTGATTTATTTTATTTGACTAGAAACATTACATTGATTTGTCGTGCGGCGTGCAACAATTATGATTCACATTTGAAATTTGACGTTTTTAGAAGTTATGTTACCAGGACAGGGTTTTTTTTAGTGTACGCAATAAAAATATCCATTAGGGACAAAACCCTTACGAGGGGCTTTCAAACAATCAATCAACCAATCACAAGGAAATAAACGAAGGACGCCGGGCACAATCTAAAACTTACCTTACTCTTCGACTTGGCCCCTTCATTTTGAACTTCAGGGTTAACATCACCTAGATCGACCTCACCCATTGTGAATTCCTTAACTATAAAGTGTATCTTTTTAGTTTAAAAAAGTGATTAAATAATTCCTAAACTTACCAAAACATTTGTCTTTTTTCCTTCCTTTGCCATCTCGAGTTCTTTGATGTCACTATGAAATCAATATTTAAAATTATTTTAATCTGAATAGTAAGTGAAAGATTGATAACGAAATGTCAGCAGAAACTTCATGGTAACAATTACAAATATAATAATAGTAGGCACGATAGCGGCAAAAATCCTTCACCAAAACTATTAACGAAAAGGGTAACAAAGATTGGAAAATGTTTATGATTATCGAGGAATCAGTTAAAACTGTTGAAATTGGACAACATGAAATGCTAGTGGAAGGGTAACGACAAAAACCAGCATAAAAAATCAAAGAATATTGAATGGTGGAGTGCTTAGGAAGAAGTCAAGAAATCCCCAACGTATAATTATACATTCTTTCCCCAATATATACATTCATTAATTCCGTTATTGCCATGTTATACACACACAGTAGGTACAGATCAGCTGTTGAACTAGAAATTGTGGTGTCACAAACAAACACAAAAGAAATCGTGTGTTTTTAAACAAAAATTCCTCATTTGCCCTCTTAAAACAGCTGCATTTGTGGGACCCAAGGATCGTGTTACTGTTTAATTTTACTGACGAGATAATCCTAGATGGTAACATAACAATGTGATCATATTCCGTTGTTTAAAATTTTAACTATTCATGAGCCACTTCATAACACCTTAACGGTCGAAGACTCACACTGCAAAAAATACTTACGAATTAGGAAAAATAAAGAATTTGACTTCGAGACCATAATCGATACGATTTTATTCCAGAAAAACCGGATTCATAATCAGGTTTCTACAGGACTAAGTTATGCAAGCCTCTGAGTAATTAATTTATCCATGTCGGTAGCAAGCTCCAGCGGTAGACTGATTAAGATACTATTGCAGAAGAAGAGACCGAGAAAACCTGAAATAATATTAGTATTACCACTATAGGGTGTCACGTACAATCTAGCTATAGGATCTAAAAGATTCCAGCATTTTCGATTCTGCACGCCTTATCAACAAAACCGACATCCTAAACACGTAGCACGGAATAGTATTTGGGGAATGCTATCAACTTATCAGATCATGATAACTCTACTACAATTCTTAATTATGTGACGTATCTTTATAATACTGATAAGGAAGTTATTTGATGATGCAAAATCTTGAAATTTCAAATATTTGTAAAAACATGTAGACTGGATCAAATTCAAATAGGATATGTATAAAAAGGCATTGATGAGATAAAAATTTACTTGTATGTTTATAACCCACCAAGACGCGCGCCGAGTTGGACTCGTCGACGGTCTTGTATTATATTTGAAACAAATCTTTTACGAGTATCACCCGTTAAGCTTACAACTGAAAGTGATCTGGCGAGATCATATTCATAAATCATAAATGATACTATTATGCTATGCCTATGGTTAATACTTTGTTATATGCTTTATGTCTTATCACTTATGGTCAAGTCGTCACAATTGCGATCATATTCATATCAATAGGAACGATTCAATAATCTTATTCTTAACTTAGCTAAGAATTAAGAATCATCATAACATAACAGTTTCAACGTTATTATAACCGGTAATGTTATTTGAATAATGTGAAATATTTTTAATTTTGGAACATTTTTGAAAAGCTACAGCGCTGAGTGCTGACTACAATAAATTCTGTGACAGTAAATTGTGATGCACTTGTTAAATTTTACTTTTAGTTTTAGACTTCTATAGATTGGTACTATTTTATAAAAATAAGAAATTATGATAATTGGTTAATTTTTTGTTGCATTTCACTAATCAAATTATAATTAACTAATTTGCAGTTACAAAGCAATTAGAAAGCTAATACATTTAATTGCGTAATCAGTGAGATAAGTGACGTCATGATATATGAAGATCCCCTGAAGAACAGTTACAGAACAGCTTGAAATACAAAGATGAGGTGTCATGAGGAATCGAATCTGTCATTAGAGCACACAATTAATTACAAAAGTGGACAAAGGACCTCAATAAAACGACGATTACAGTGGACATTTTGCGTCAAACGAACCTTAATATTATCGTATAGTATCGTAGGAGACAGGCATTGGAGCTTTTGTATTCATGTTACCAAGTTCTGAACATGAATTGTAGGACCACAGCGTTATATTTATAATTCCACAACAGATCTTTCAAAAGTTGTAATCCAATTCTAGTTCTTATTGTCAAACTTTGGCTTTTACAGTGCTGCATTATTTATATTGTTAGCGTTTATTTGTTACCATGATCAATTAATGGTTCAGCACGAACAAAAACTTTTGCTTTAGTTTAGTTAGTTAGTTAGACAAAAACCCATTCCTTTCCTAATTGAAATTCCTTTAAGTTTAACCTCCCAAAAATGTTAACAACACCCAAACCAAAGTCCAAACCGGCCAAAACACAAACAAAAGCACACAAGTCCTCCTAAAATGTCTTGTTCACACCACAGCGTTATGATGAAGAGCATGTATAACAGATCCTGGAGCTCGTCTAGCTCTGGTGACGGAATAGAGTTTGAGTATCAGTTACAGATAAAGGACGGACCACCCTGGGGCTTCAGAATATCCGGGGGCAGGGAGTACGGGCAAGAGATTAAAGTTTCCTTCATAAAACCAGGTACACTCTTCAAGTTCAAGCAAGACCTATTCATTTTCTATACTCAATTAACCTTATGCAATATCTTTGCCGCATAGTAGCGGGGACTGCGGGGTAGTAAATACTGTGGAATTCGTTTCGTTTCGTAACCTACCTATCTTGCATAAATTCTCATGAAAACTTGAAACACAGAACAAATTAACTTTATTTTTCTGGGATCCTGAGTCTGGAGTCGCGAAATTCGGTCGTGAAAACTAGTTAAACAAGTTAGCACCCTGCCGGAATTCGTGAACCGGCACAATATTCAAACACTGCCGCCCCAATGTTAGCTTATGTTAGTGATGATTGTTGGATTGAATCATTATCATGAGCGTGATTATTTTAAAGATAATCCTAACAACATCGTTACATTTATTAGAGTTACATGACAGCTTTTCTGATCTAAGCACCGAATTAAGAATACAAATATCTTTGCCCGCCGTAATTTCGTTAAAAAGAATTCTTGGAAATGAAGGAATTTAGAAATTGTGGGAATCTATAAGTAATATAGAATGTAGCAAAATTAACAAAAAATAACAATACCTTTACCGTATATCGGATGAGGTGATCATCAGCTAAGAAAAAGAATTTCTAGATATCAAGGACAGAGGCACATATTAGGTGCGGTAAAAAAATCGAAATTATGCGGTACCGCACCCGACTATAAAGGTAAAATGTGCGATAAGGTGCGGTAAATTTTTACCAATTATGCGGCAAATGTGCGACGATTTTTTCGAAATTTGTGCGGGAATTGTGCGGTTTTCTTTTGCATTTTCTGAAGGACTTTGGAAATTCTAAACGTATAACCGCCGCTCTTATCAAAAATAGGTCTGTTTATGTGCTTATGTGTTACTGAGGGTGTAGTTCTTCACTAAGACCATGATTGAACCTATATTGAGATTCAGTTATCTGAGAACAGTGACTTTATCTGGTAGAGATCAGGAGACAGTTATTTGAAGATGCCTCTTGATAGAGTCGATCAGATCCCATGCGTGATCGCAAATATGTGACACGCTTGTTGGCATTGCAATCGTCAGTACTTGTAAACCATTTGATCCAAGATCCATTAAGCCCACTATAAAGCCAACGCTACAACGAATAGAGCTCATTACCCAATAAAAAGTGCTGCAGGTATGATCGAAGTACGGTAACAACGAGGGTTCCATAACGGCCTGGGTCATGGTCCCGAAAGGGCCTGGGTCACGGTCCCGAAAGGGCCTGGGTCACGGTCCCGAAAGGGCCTGGGTCAGGGTCCCGAAAGGGCCTGGGTCACGTGGTAACAGGGTCACGTGGCCTAGGTATGAGTTCCAAAAGGGCCTGGGTCACGGTCCCGAAAGGGCCTGGGTCAGGGTCCCGAAAGGGCCTGGGTCACGTGGTAACTGGGTCACGTGGCCTATGTATGAGTTCCAAAAGGGCCTGGGTCACGGTCCTAAAAGGGCCTGAGTCACGGTCCTAAAAGGGCCCGACTTTTAACATATTTTGGTTTTTACACTCGAAAATCGTAACGCAAAAATTTCAAAATTATGCGAAATTACGCGGAAAATGCTAGATTATGCGGAAATAAGCAGAAAATTACAAAATGTGCGGAAAACAATAAATTATGCGGAAATGTGCGGAAAACGGTAAATTGTGCGATCCCGCACCCATCGCACCTAATATGTGCCTCTGATCAAGGAAGCAAAAATGAAATTTGAATCTGATGCATGCTAAGGTCATCCCCCGACCCCCTCGAAGTTCTCAATATAATATCAAATAGTTATAATACTTAAAGTCCCAGGGTTTAGAGACATTTGACGCAAAAAAGTTGGGTACCCCTATTCACGTTATACCGTGCTATTGACGTTATCTAATTGCTAATCAATAATGTTCGTAGTCTGCATAATAAATGATGTAGTCCGGAGTCCCTGTTTTCGCTCTGTACATTTGTTAGCGAAACATCAACTAAACGGGGTACTTTGGGGCACATTGCTAGTACTTAATCTGATGAGGTCAAACTAGACTAAAGGTAAATCATCACGTGATGCAGTGTTTGTTCTAATTAGACAGTAGGTACTCATATCATTCTAGTACGTGAAGTTGAACCGGTCTTTGATCGTTATTACATATTGAACTGCAAGTGATGCGATTGAACTTAATGTAAAAATAGGATATGTTAGACAATTTTATAGCCATGCTGTCTACTGCAAGAATTCTGGTCCACCCTTGACCAATGACTATTGACTACGCACTGCACAGTAGAACTAAATGCGATGGCTTCTTATAAGCTGGTTTCATAAGCTTGGTTGGAAGTTACATTTTATTGAGAAATGTATTTTAAGAATAACAAACAAGCAGTAAAGCAAGAAATAGGCGCCTCTCTTCCCACCTTATTTTTGTGGCCAGAAGTCTGCATGAGATAAGCAATAACAACTATAAATTTAATTCAGTAACTCTTAACATTGTGCTATTACAGGCGGAAGGGCTGCAGAGAGCAAAATGTTGAAAGTTGGTGACACAATCCTACAAATAAATGGTAAAAAGGTGAGCAACTTGACTCACCATGGTGTTGAGCGGTTGATATCACGAGTTAGTGCCTCTCTGAAGATTGTGGCTCTGAGGAACTACACTGCTTTTATTAAACAACCGGGGGACGGATTCGCTCCAGCTAGAGGTACAGTTCCGAAACAACTCATTTAGTGGATTATTTATATTACAAAACGAGAAAAGATATGTAATTTCTGTAACAATTTCTTTGAAGTAGAGTATAGTTAAAGATGCAGTTACAGTTACACTCACTGCTTCAAATGTCTATCACAGATTTGGATCAATCCAAAATAGTAAGTAATGGCCAGACTTTAGGATCACCAGCGATACGTTCACACTCACTTCACAGGTGTATAATCGAACAAATCAAATCATGATTAACTTACACTTGACTGCAAAGCTACATGTCCTAAATTGAATGTAATTTAAAATATTTGCCACTCAAACTCGGAATAGAAAACGTCATGATCAGTCAAGTGAAACAGTAGTGTTATGATCAGTAGCAGGTAAGTAATCAGAGTCACGGATTTGATGCAGACCAACATTTGCAGCAACCGTGGGGGATCGAATCAAACTGCTCGGATACAACTTTCGAGTAATTTCAATAGTATGAATGAGTTTAAATGAGTTCGATTGCTTCTGTGGAATTCCAATATAACTTTTTTATGGACCACGTGGCACTTAGCTTAAAGTTAAACGCCTAACTTTTTATAAAAATTAGGGAAATGCTAAATCAGACCTCTATTTAATTAGGATCCAAAATACTCAAATAGCGACGTTCTATTTGGGGCTCTAGGGTATAGTAATAGAGTTTAATATAACAACAACCGCTCTGATTACATAGCGAGCTGTAAAATACATCATATTATGAAATATAATTCAACTATAATTACGCGGAATCAGTGCACATATGGAATCAGTTTGGGGCTTGGGCAATATATAATACACCATACTATAAAGAGTCAGTATTTAATATTGCACTGTTATACCACAAGTACAACGCCTCGGCCCACACGGTCAACTAAAGAAAACTCCAAAACACTTGCAATGTTATGCATTAGTAATAGTGTCTTCACATAGTTTAATGAATATAACAGTACTGGAAATATGGGCGAACAATAGTTACAAGTTCTAATAGTCCCGCATTGTTGAGGCACTCATAAAGATTAAACAGTTAGTCTTACTCTTACCGTTATTATTGTATTGAGAAATTAACACTCACAAACAACAAATAAAATAGACGAATGAAAACTAAAAGGATTAGGATTAGGAATGACTCCGTCTTGATGATTATAATTACTATTATTATCTTAATCATGCTTATGGACGCACGAATCTCATTGAACGGACATGGAGTCTGACTTAATAAAGTTTTTACTTTATAAATTTAATTAGCATATTCTCGAAATTGATGAGCACGAAATAGAATAAAGGGGTGCATTGTCTAACTCTAAATGAAAGTGAAACTGTAAAACGACAGCGACATCGCCTGTTCGTGACTTTTATACAGAGGCACTGAACTAATAAATTCCATGATAATCACTGACACTAGATTCGAATGCAGCGCTCAAAATCACAAATCAGCATATCAAAAATAAACGCACAGGTCACTGATCAGGTGATCCAGCACCAACCCAGACTTAAATATATTTATATAACGCGGATCAATATAATCTAATTTGTTTATATAAATTTATAACATAATACACATAGCGTTAAACGTGTCGGAGCAGTTAGGAACTATGTAGCCTGAGTCAGAGCATTGTGTTCACCGGCATATTCTTATATTTTGTAAATTCTATGAGGACCTTTGTGACCTTGGAAAGAGTGTAACATTGTGCACTTATAGCTCCGGATCGTGTGATAGTCGCCCCATATACTGCATACCAGCATACGGAGATTGATAATAAGGCAAGAAAACACTTGAGTCACCCCATATACTGCATACGGAGATTGAGAATAAACAACTTGAGGAATTGTGAGAATTTTAGGAATCCAGCGACAACTGAAATTGTTCCGTTGCATGTCCTTAAAAACTCTAAGAAAAGGAGGAACTTGATTAAAAATGCCGGCTTTTAATCATTATCTTGTCGTACATTATTACAAACCGGTTAGCTTATATTTATCAATGTGGCATATATGCTGAAACTCCGCTCTTAATTGTGACTTATGATTAATCACCTTTAAGTCTGAAATGTAATACTTATAATTCCAAATAATTCCGGCAGGAAGAATCCAAGCATCAGATAGGATCGCCGCAAGAAGGCCAAGACTCTTACAGAGACAGTCCAGGGTGGACAGCACCACTAGTATAGACCTGGAAGCAATAGCTCGCGCGAATCAGCACGTGCAACTCCCGGAAGAACCCTCACAAGCGCACGGGGATGCTTGCAGTTGTCATGGCAATGGATGTAATGGGGATAAGAGCAGTTCATGCAATACTGAAGAACAAAGTTCTTTGTTAAAAGGAGGTCCCAGGGTACACTTTAAGCTGTAACAGGAACGATGGAATATTTAAAAGTTCTACATATCATGACATACAGACAGATTTTTAAAGATAACCAAACTTCAAAGATTCTCAAAATTTTCATGAATATTAAAATTAGTTTACTGCATTCAACATTACCAGACACTGATTTGGTGAGAGAATTAGTGTTGCCACCTTATCCACTCACGGCCACGCTAATAATTCATACCACCGATCGATTGGAATTTATTTTGCAAAAATTACATCTTGAAATATGTTTGCACTTAAATCATGATTCAATTTTATTTTTCTTAAATTCGAAGTTATTCGATTCTTCAGTTTCTAAATGAGACTCACAAATATAACCAGTTGAGTTACCGGGTTCAAATAAATAGGTAAAAGAGGGATGAACAGGAAAACAGCTTTAAAAATTAAAAAATTGAGCTCCTAAAAGACCATAACAAAAGCCAACGATTAACAAAGAGCTTCTCGTTCAGGGGCTATGTACAGGCTTGAAACAATAATGACATTGGAAAGCGAAATAATAATAATCGATCATCTAGATCTCGACCAAAATCTGCGGAAAATTGAGCAAAACCCCAGCAAATCTGATCGAAGATATTCACCCTAAGAGTTCTAAACTTCTAGTAGCTCCCAGGCCCACACTGTAAAACATGACTCGACTAAATGTCGACTCCGTCGCTGTCACATACAACAAGTTCATCGTGAATAGTTTAGAGAGAACCGTCCAAGTTGACTTTGATAGCGTCAAGGAAGTCCTCCGTGTTCACGTAGTGTTCTCCGAGCTTAACGTTCTTCATGCCGTGTATACAGCCAGCAAGGTCCTTGGTCATGGTGCCGCTGTCAACTGTGTTAACACATGCATCTTCTAGTGCTACAGAAAACCTGAGAGAAAGGGAGGTTTATACTTTATACCTGTACCAGCAATTTAATTAATTGTACCAAAATGTTTGTTTATTGTACCAACAATTTCATTTATTATAGAAACAATTTCATTTATTGATGTCAGATTTGGTAGCTAATATTGGATCATGTCGATGGGTTTTAGTTTATGGCAATTCCCAAGGTATTACGTTAGTAGCAGGTATGTATTGAGTGTGTACTTGGATGTATAAGAGTTTTTATAACTTAGTTGACTTTAAAATTAATCCATTGGAGGTCCAAATAAAATGGTTTATGTCGGATCATGTCAGGTTTCATTATATTTGTCACTCAGCCCAATTGTGTGTTGTAGTATGGATTGTGGGAGCCATACTGTTCAATCAAATATAAAGTACTCAGTTTTATCAGAAATTGTTATTATTATTGATATTATGCGAGCAGAGTTCTCACAATGCCAACCATAACAATAGTTAGCGGCGTTCTGGTCCGCACTTGAATATAATTGTTACATCAACATCATAACAATAGAGCAGTGTGTAGTGAAAATATTCTAGTACGTGTGGAAAAACATTATAACTTAGTTATTAATACAGACTTGAATATAACTCGTCTCAGCGGAGTAAGAGACTGCTAAATGTTGGTCCAATTTTATTGAGGTAAGGTACACGGGCAGTAACCACTAACCATCATCATTCGGATGTAAATCAGCTTTTAAAAATGATACACGAATCATGCGATAATGTATTCTCCCAGCGACAAATTTGAAATCAATTCTTAAAACTGATTCTTAAAACACTCTGGACCATGCTCCTTTTGGTTTTCACCCCGGCATCCTTATAAAGCAGACTAGTTCCAGCCTCTATCAAGCTCCCAGATAACAAGTCTAATAACACAATTTTTTTACACTTCGGTTTAGGAATTAGGATGCAGTTCGAGGTCTAACATAAGTAACATAAGTAGGCATCTTGAGGCTGGATCACACATTGTAAGCATGCAAGCAGACTTTAACTCCGCTAAATTATATATATTAAACTCCGTGATTAAACAACACGGAGTAGAAGCACTTGTTACATCGGTATCTTAGCGGTGTTTTGATGATACCATTGATCAGGGTTCAGGGTTGTGTGAGAATATTCTATATTATTATATTAATAAGATCACCCGTCACCGCGAGAACGATCTAGAACAATACTACAAGTATTGAATCATTTTTATTCTATCATTAACTTAATTTTTACCATGTTATCGATACTGGAATTAAGGTGTAACATGTCTGCTGACTACGAAGCCGGTAAAGAATGGTCCGATAATAATAAGATATTACCCTCCGGATATTGTACGATAATAATAAGGGTTGGTATTTTGGGAGAAAGATACGACTTGAATCGAATAGTAGTAACTAGAGAAATAGATTGATAAACTATGATGAATAGTATTAGTATTTAGTAGAAATAGCGTGGTACGTGACAGTGAATAGGTGCTGCAATGTTTGAACTATATTCTTGTTCGATAATTAAATAAATAGCACATTCCTGGAGTAGAGCGGGCCCTTATTCAAAGTCATGTGTAATCGTAATATTTTACATCCGGATAGGAAAATACTGAAAACATTGCAATATGTACGATTGTGAGAGGCGTAGTGATAATCTCATATCACGCATTTTTTCATCCTACTCCAAATCACAGGTAAAGTTGTACCACTTGTACGTGACGTGATGTTATACTGGAATCTAGTTTGACTGGTTCTACAATTGAATAATATAGAGAGCCTGGTGTATACATACTTGTGCAACTCGTCGTTTCCGTCAAGTTTAGCTCGGTGTATGAGACCGCGAGTCCAGGCGAAGATACTAGCGATAGGGTTGGTACTTGTTGGGTTACCCTGAAGGAGTATTAGGGGTTAGAAATTCTGGATAAAATCAAAGTTTAGAGCGCTTATTATGTCTGATAAACATAGTATTATATAGCATAGTTATTGCGTAATAGCGGGGTGTAGTTTTATACTGACACGTAGCAAACACCGATACTGAGATTATTTGCCACGTGTCAACAAATGTTGCCCTCCGCTATTACCCTCGTCTTTACAGTGTGTAGATTCGTGTTTTATAAGTTAAGGCTCACCTCATAATATGAGGCAAGTCGCCTCATAGGAGAATGATTTCCGGACAAAATATTTCAGTAACGGAAAAAGACATTCCTGAACATCAAAAGTTAACACCATATTTAAGAATTTAATTCAAATTGTTACATAATCTTAGGAGTGCCTGGTACTATTGAACTATTTATAAATCTCAAATAACTTATTGAAACCTAACCTTTTGATGCTCCCTGTAATGCCTGGTAACAGTGCCGTGCGCCGCCTCCGCCTCTATAGTCTTACCATCAGGACAGATCAGTACACTTGTCATCAGTCCCAGAGATCCGTAACCTGTTGGACGGGTTTTTAGGTGAATCAGACACAAATATCTTGGTTCGGAGTTAACGGAATTGCAGGGAAATTAATAAATTAGGGTGCTTGAATATCGGTGTGATTTCGAGAATATTCGGATACCTTTAGTGTACTGTAAACTATCATAAGTTGTAGGTCTGAACAAATATTTAATGCGGAAGCGGAAGATATTTCAAATAATTTGGTACGCTATTCCAGGGAATCCATGTGTTGTTGAGCTGGTTTTATTACGATTATTCCTCAAAACCAGACGAAGATATCGGTTTCAGAATTAGATGAATTGCTAGAAAATTGGTTAACAAAGTTTGTTCAATTTCGCTTCTGTGTTTGATTCCTCGTGGGGGATTCGAAACCTCGTACTAAAGTTGTATGTTTCATCAAATTTTGAAGCTGGAAGAATTTGTATTTAATTTTTCTGCAAAGTTAGTTGATTGACCGCATCGTTCTATCGATCAATAAAGAAATATTTCAAAAGATTTTACTGAGAATGTTACATCGCAAAAAAGTGTACAAATGGCAGATTTCTCAGACCGATCTACCTATGAGGGTGTGTCAGATAATGTGAGTGTACAGCTTGAAATGTTCCAGTGTGCTATTATAATATTCTATTATAGAGTTTACAGGGCACTCCACAAAACTTCTCGATATAAATTTCTGAGAATCTAATCAGAAGAAGTACCGCCTAGTTAGAACAGCAACTTCATTACGTTATATCTATGCTACCTAGCACGTACCGTCTTTCTACTTTTCTAGCATCTCAACATCTAAGGCTAGTTCAGCAAGGTGCATAAACCATTTTATTGTATCTAGTACACACTAACACACATCGACAATGGCTCCCAAAAATTCCACTGTAAACATTTTCACTCCCCTTTTCAATGATTAATCTTGCTGGGTGAGTGCCCAAAAGAATTTTCATAATATTACAATGGCGTGATAATATGAGAATTCCCGCCCGGGATGTTTGAATTTGTGCCACATATTTTACTAAAGACTATTCACATAATATTGCGATTTGCGACGTTATAATTGCGTCAGACTAACATCTCACTGCCACTTACCATCCGAGGAGTGACGCTACAGAATTTTTGGGAAATTACCTATATATGTATATTGTATATATCCCATGCTATAAATGGGACCCATGCTATAAATTCGTTAAGAATAATTTACAGAGCCACTCCAGTCGCATGTTTTGAAGCAAAATAATTACGGACACTTCAACAACTTTTGTATCGAGCACATCATCTAACAATGAATGGTATCATAATTTTCTTGCAATGTTAATTCGTACATAGTACATACACATTTCTTATCCCAGAGGCAGGCAGAGCATCCTCATGCTATTCTCTCTTGGGCCACCAGGCCCAGCCTCTCTTAAGAAAATAAATATTTATTTTGATTTGAATATCTTCTAATTTGGCAACAAGTGATAGTGACAATGGACGGGAATCACTTCAGATTTTAAAAATGTCAATGTCCAAATTATGATCACGTTGATCCATATTCCATAAATATTGAATATAGTTATCTATAGTTGCGAACATGATTCAAATTTCAATCGTCACTTACATTTATCGCAAAAATAGAAAATATCGGTTATTTTCGGATTAATATCAACATGTGGTTCACTCGCTAATTAAATTAAGTGGATATGTAGCGGATCAATATGGTTAGTATCACGAAGCAAGGTTCAGTGCGCAAATCCGAGTTAGGGATTCTGCAGGAAACGGTCTTAGAAAAGTTGCCACATTTTTTGTTGAACACATTTCAGCATGAGTTCGGTTCAAACTTCTGAAATATCAGCATTTGCGGATAAGGAACGAATTTTGAATCGATACGATTTGCGGGACCAAATATCAATCGAATTATTCGGAAACTTCATAATCCAAACATGGCCTTCATTACCTCAGGAAATTGAGTAATAACTGAAGTTTCATAGACAAATTTCATAGGACACAGCCGCGAAATCGTTTTGAAATAAATGTTCTGAGCTTATCAGGAATGAATTCTACAAACCGTTAACCAGATACGATATGATGAAGTGCCGGAAGAAAGATTGTGCGAAATAGTTTATAACGTAATTTGAATTTAAATTCACGAATTCCCCATTGGACACACGCCTGGTTATTGTCTGACTGCTTTTAATACAAGACGTGGTTCATTTCCAAGTTAAATTTGGCGTATAGATATATTAAACTACATATATATAATTAATAGCGCCGCGCATCAACAGTTTGAGGAAGGTGATCAGCTTTCATCATACAAAATACGTTTGGTTTTCGCGCCGGACGGGATGAGTATATCGATGTCAACACAACAGAGTTGCTGCTACGCGGCCGGACCAAAAAACAAATCTTTGTCAACGACTCTGAATATTAACCGAACTATTATGAAAACCTAACAGCGAGTTACACACAACTTATAATACAAACAAGACCTACCCTGAGCGACAGTGTCTGACTGAACATCACCATCGTAATTCTTACAAGCCCACACGAACCCACCGTCACTCTTTAATACCTGCGCTACCATATCGTCAATAAGCCTGTGTTCGTACCATATTCCTAGATCATCAAATTTAGTTTTGTAGTCCCTGAAAAATGTAGCAGAATGTAAGGATTGGGAATTTTAAATCTCAGTTGATAGATTTTAGATTAAATATAAATCAAGAGGCTTGCATATAATGAACATATTGACACGGGTGCTGAGTTGATTCTGTACGGAACCTAGTAGTTTCAGATACTTGTTTAACTTGTCGTACAGCAAGGTCATCCACTACTTTAGCCCGGCGAGGCACATAACTCCCTCTACAACTCCATGACAAATGTTTCATATATACTAGCCGAATTCACAAGATATATCCTTGTGTTTGAGAAGAGCTCGTTAGAACTGCTTCCTTTCCCTTCAGTATCCCACAGTCTCAAAATATGTCAGCAAGGCAAACAAAATGTACCTTTCTACATAGAATATAGATACGAAAAGACAGACATCAGAAAACTTACGATTGGAAGATCTCCTCGAAGATATCCTTAAATTTACCATCGTATCGTTTTAAGATGGTATTCTTAGTACTCATATACAGGGGCCACTCCTTCATTATGGCATATTGGAAACAACTGTGAGCAAAATCTTCGATTGCCTGAAAAAACATTAGTTGAATATTTGCCTTGTTGCATAGGGTAAGGCACGTAATTTTGTCAGGGTACCTAATTTTGTCATTTTGCTCTGAAAAACTGCCTCGGCTCGGAATTTCAGCTTGAAAAAAAAGGTTTGTGTATAAAAAGAAAGCTTAGACTTTGCTGAAACTGCTCCTACAAAGTTTAAGTTTCTAGCTCTTTTGCATCTGTGTCAAAAATGAAGGCGAAACTGTTAACCCGAAAAATAAATAAGATCCTTAAAGTTTTCTTAAGGAATTTTCAAAATTTTGATTTATTGCTTTTTCAAAAGTAATTGAGCTAGCTTCATGCCATTGCATATTTCAAATATCTTCTACAGCAGAAGTATACGTACAAATTTTCAAGTCTCTAGCGCAATTATTGTTCAAGTTACAGAGGGTGACAAAATTAGGTTCGATTTTGCCAAAAGTACCTAATTTTGTCAAAAAAATCGACCTTTCTCAAATTTCTTGTAAATCACAGATTGTGTTGAAAATGGCCTTATACAACTATTCTGAAGTTTTTTTGCCCATAGGATATGTATAAGGCACTTATAATAGCATTTAAACACTTATAATAGCATATTTTCGCCGAGAAATATACTGTAATTCTGGGCTTTAAAGAGCTATTGGTAAATATAGTTTCGTGAATCAGTAACCAATATTGATTCATGCTTCATAGAAAGTTTTCAAGATGCCAGTGGTTTCAGGGGCATTTGGGGGCTATTTTCTAAGATTAGATACCCAAAAAGTGTCATCTTTTCATCAAGCTACAAAACTATGAAAACATCATATCTTTGGGATTTTTGAGGTCAATGTTGGTAAAAAAGCGCTCGAATGATGCATCCAGGTAGTCTAAAATACCGAGAAACGGTTACTTTTTGCACAATCTTCAAGTGACAAAATTAGGTTCGGGGTGACAAAATTAAGTAAAGTCACCTAATTTTGTCATTTTTTCAAAATAATTTTTATGAACATCTTCAACCCCAGCAATTTCGATCATTTTTGTGTTAGAACTTGCCTAGACTGTCTACTATAACATGGTGGAGGTTTCATCTAAATCGGAATTTCAGACGAGGTTAAAACCCATGGTTTATATCAGGCAGTCGGAAAATTGCCAAAAAATGACAAAATTATGTGCTTTACCCTATATGCCTCAAGTAATTATAAACTCCCAAAAACTAAAATGAACACGATAGTAAACTGTGGTGAGTAAGGAAAATAGTAAAATTTAACTTTCAACAAACAGAACAGACTACTTATCATTTGTTAGAATAAATCAATCTGATATTTGTTAGAATTCTTGAGATAGCAATCACACATACCTCAGTAGTGTTGAACATTCCCATACCACAGCCGCCTCTGCCTCCCTCTTTACCTGCAAATTCCTTCACCGTCCACTCAACTGGCTCCCCACCATCAGCAGGCTGGAATGCCATGGTCAGTGTTCCGGGTCCTGGCACTACGAAATCTGTTGCTTTGTACTGAGGAGGTTGAGTGAGGTTAGGTTTTTGTGAGGCCAAGTACTGAGGTAAAAGAGGTTAAGATAAGGACGTTTGTTGAACATTTGACGGTCAAAAAGGTCAAATGAGTTTAACACACGATGTGACAAGATGAAGCGTTAGATAGTTTAACATTGTTTAACGCAAACCATCAGACCGTTAAATTGCATCTGTAATAGTGCAATTTAGTATAAAAACATAATGGGCGTTTGAGTCAGAATATTCCAAACAATAATTGGAGTGCTGGACACATTTAGGATATGCAAGATATATGCAAGATGTGGGTAAGATATATGTTATTATGAGTAGAGCTGGTAGGTGTTGACAGTTGTGATATAGAAAGGTTTGCATGGTGCCAGACCATTTTTTTGTTTAGTGTATTGTTCTATACAATCTTCATTGAACGTACATAGTACATTTAACATTCTAAAGGAGCATTATATTATACAGGAGTCTCTAAACATATAGAACCTTCTGCTATGCGGAAACATCAGTTGGGAGCCTGTACCACTATACCAACATATTTCCTAATAACATTCTATCACGTGGGTAATACTCTGCGTCTTATTGGCTGACCTCCAAAGAGATGTAAATTACATTAAGTTGTGTAGTTAACACAGTTATTGTATTCATTGTACGTAAGCCATATTGTGACAGCCACTATTATACTTAAAACCCTTCAACAATCGGCTAGTATAAACTATAGGAGTAAAAACATTAATATAACAAGAGGCTTTGAGTCCAGTTGAGTAAAGTAATGTGATATTTGTACATGGTATGTATAGTGTATACAAACTATACATGATCATAAAGTAAAATACCTTCGGGAGTAGCTCTCTAAGAGTCAATACATAGTACATACCTGCTCATGATACACACTACATACCTTAAACAACAACCATCTTCCTGAACTCTCAGTACATTGTATTTTATACATTGTAACTGTTACACAGTACACACCTTAACTTGAAACTTCCCAAGGAGCATCTTATTAACGCCTCCTAAATTAGTTACTGGAAAGAGAATCTAGCAACTCTGTCCAACTTGTGTAACCTAACACTGAAGTTACCATGATACTTATTTTCACCCCTCACACATCCCCATTATTAGTAACCTAGCAACATATTAGTAACCTAGCGATACAAACACACATTTTCAGGGAATTAGCGTTAGAGTTATTGCATGTTATATTATAATATTATTATCTCCTTAGTTACCTTAGTTACACTTACACTGAACCACAACAAGAGAAACATCCTCAGTCCTCATGTCATTTATCTAGTTTTTGAGTAAGAAACACCAGCATATTTTAATCCTATACACTATAATAATTGTTTGAAAACTATAAGAAGAAAAAACCCTAAACAAGAAACTGTTTCTCGTGTATGGGGGTTTTTCTTTCAATAGATTTCTAACAATTACTATAGCGGGAGGAATTAAAACATGCTGGAGTGCTGGTGTTGAGGATAATCAGTTTAATGACGTATGTAACAATATGTGCGTATCAATCTCTTATTCATGGAATATTATGTAATTACTGCATATCTTTGTACAAAGCATTAGCTTTTGCTAATTTTGAACGTCTGAGGTGATTGATCAGGCAATCAATAATGAACTGCATAGTTATCAATTATAGATTTGTGATAATAATTATTGCTCAATTTAACAATTGTGATTTTCTTGGACTGATTCCCAGTCATTTGTCTAGCTGAAGCGTCTAGTGGCGGTCTAGATACTTGCTTACAAGCGTCTAGTGGCGGTCTATGTACTTGTTTACTAGGATTACGATTCATGATCATCACATCGCATACCATACATTCATTTCAACGATCTACATACCACTGAACAATAACTGTGATGTTTGGGCAGCAGAACTTAGCGTTAGAATGTACAATGTAATCTGTAATATCCTGTTCATTGCTCATAGCGCGTCAGAAACTTCAACAAGCTACAGTTTTAACTAGGAGTAAGTAATGTAGTTAAGTAAAGTAAGTGTAGTAATCCGGTATAGTAGTACTATAATTCAGCTTATGTCTAAAAGTAAGAACTTTGAACGGATAGTAATTCTGTAATTACACTGTCAGCTTCAGTGTAAAAGGTGAAACAAACTGCGTCAGGGACGTAATTAAATCCATCTTAAGATGATCTAGCATGTAACAGGGTAAGTTTGGTTATTCATATGAAAGAACACCAAACAGTGTTAGAACGATGATTAGACCAATCTGACGATGCAATTAGAAAGTGGATAGGTCGAGATGGTATTATTAGGAAGAAATAAGCACGTGACGTGAAATTGTAAAAGTGACAAATTCTGGATAACCCCGAAAGTTCTTAACAAGCTCGCACACTTCAAAATGGCAAGATCTAGAAATGTTCCGAATGTTTTAAATTGACAAAGATTTTAGCGAATACAATATTTAGACTACAAAAAAACGTTGCCTGTATTCTACATTATTAAATTAATAAGAAACGTAAAACAATGTTACCTGGTCACCATAAGCATGTCTGCCAATAACAATAGGTCTAGTCCACCCCGGTACTAGTCTAGGCACGTTCTCGCAGAGGATAGGCTCACGGAACACAGTTCCTCCTAGAATGTTCCTTAGAGTACCGTTGGGGGACAGCCACATCTTCTTGAGCTTGAACTCTGGGACAGAGAGGAAGGTTAGAGGCTTTGTAAGTTATTGAGGTGATTTTCTGTACAGTGTGACGAGTTCAGCTTTATCGTGGTTCATCCCAAGAAGGGTTACAAATATTGGAAGCGAGGAGTCCCTTCACAGTGGACAAGGATCCTACACATTAACAAAAAGATTTGGGCTGTTGAATACTTTCAACACATCCACAGTCATGAAATTAGAACCTACCCTCGACTCTCTCCTCATCAGGTGTGATGGTAGCACACTTGATACCGACATTGTACTTCAGTATGGCAGCGGCTGCGTCGTGTGTCACCTGATCGTTTGTCTCGTCACGGTACTCCATACCAAGATCGTAATACTGAGAGGAGGGGTTAGTTAGGTTGTCATTTGTTAACCTAAGGAGGCAATGTGGGATATTTCACGGTATTATTTGATAAACTACCCCAAAAAGAATAACAAGGTACACTGTTAGAGGACAGTGTTAGGGGACAGTGTTGGAGGACAGTATTAGAGGACAGTGTTAGAGGACAGTGTTAGAGGACAGTGTTAGAGGACAGTGTTAGAGGACATTGTTAGAGGACAGTGTTAGAGGACAGTGTGAGAGGACAGTGTTAGAGGACAGTGTTAGAGGACAGTGTTAGAGAACAGTGTTAGAGGACAGTGTTAGAGGACAGTGTTAGAGGACAGTGTTAGAGGACAGTGTTAGAGGACAGTGTTAGAGGACAGTGTTAGAGGACAGTGTTAGAGGACAGTGTTAGAGGACAGTGTTAGAGGACAGTGTTAGAGGACAGTGTTAGAGGACAGTGTTAGAGGACAGCCTAACAGCTGCTGTTATCCAAATTAAACTGTTAAAACTGAAGTTTAGAATATTTATATCTAAACCATCGTTTATAAACGATGTAAATTCTCCCACCTTGCAATCGAGCTCAAGATAAGGAAAGATGAGCTTATCTTTGATCATCTGCCAGATGATCCTGGTCATCTCATCTCCATCCAGCTCCACCACTGGGTTATCTACTTTGATCTTCGGTCTGTCGCTCACTGCAATGTTGTTATGTGTTAGTCAGCGGTCTGTCGCTCACTGCAATGTTGTTATGTGTTAGTCAGTGGTATGTCGCTCACTGCAATGTTGTTATATCGTGTTAGGTACGGGGTAACATGTTGTTAAGTACTAAACTAGTTTGTGATGAACATTTCTAGTGATTCCATGTATTGCGACAAGGGAGAATGCTCTTTTCAAGTAAATTTTCATCAGAAACATCACAAAAATGCAACTCATAAACAATGTCCCCATCTGGATATTACATGTATTACGATAGGTATTAGGTAAAAGATGGTAGCTTGCTAATAACGTGCACTAAGAAGTTAACTGGGTTTGGAAGTTTTAAATTGTTATATCTCCCAAGGGAACGTAGCTGTAGATGTTATGAACTGTGTTACTCAAGGGAACGTAGCTGTAGATGTTATGAACTGTGTTACCCAAGGGAACGTAGCTGTAGATGTTATGAACTGTGTTACTCAAGGGAACGTAGCTGTAGATGTTATGAACTGTGTTACTCAAGGGAACGTAGCTTTAGATGTTATGATGTTATGAACTGTGTTACTCAAGGGAACGTAGCTTTAGATGTTATGAACTGTGTTACTCAAGGGAACGTAGCTGTAGATGTTATGAACTGTGTTACTCAAGGGAACGTAGCTGTAGATGTTATGAACTGTGTTACTCAAGGGAACGTAACTGTAGATGTTATGAACTGTGTTACTCAAGGGAACGTAGCTGTAGATGTTATGAACTGTGTTACTCAAGGGAACGTAGCTTTAGATGTTATGAACTGTGTTACTCAAGGGAACGTAGCTGTAGATGTTATGAACTGTGTTACTCAAGGGAACGTAACTGTAGATGTTATGAACTGTGTTACTCAAGGGAACGTAGCTGTAGAAAGTGTAGATGTTATGAACTGTGTTACTCAAGGGAACGTAGCTGTAGAAAGTGTAGATGTTATGAACTGTGTTACTCAAGGGAACGTAGCTGTAGATGTTATGAACTGTGTTACTATGAGCTGACTGATGCCTCTTTCGGTGGGCCATGCGACTAATTCAGTGATATGTAAGCTTTAAACACGTACTTGCCTTACGTTGATTTCGAAGTTTTTATAAATACGTGTAATGATATCTTAATTCGATATCTCCAACTTTAATTTATCTTATTTACGGCGGGGGTTTTGACACGTACACTTTCAACTAATAATCTTTAATACCGGATAATGGCATTTTAACTTATGGTGATTGTTAAGGCTAACTAGGAGGGTATTTAAAATAATAATAATAATGTAGGTGTAGGGATACCTAGTGTAGGGTACTTACGGAAGCGTTGGTTAGCGACCAAAGGGGAGAGAACCCTAGGAACCAGGTTTATAGCTTGTCTAAGAGATGAGAGTGCCATCTTTCCTTTAGCTACAACAGTATGAAGTGGTGAAACTATAAATTAGGAACAGTAACTTTGTTAATTATAATTTAAATTCTTTCCTATTATATATTAAATATTTCTTTGCTATAGCTACTTAAACAGAAATAATAGTAAGTGATTGTTCAATCTACATCGACTGCCAGTGTCAGGGAGATACATTTGATATGAAGCAAACCTGCGAGTAAATAGTTCAAGTTTACGCAATCTTTGAACTTGAGTTGAGAAGCCACTAACACACAGATACATCATACAATATTAATAATAAACGGTAATTAGAAATTATCGTTCCTGAACTGTTATAAACCCCCAAAATATTTAATCTAATTTGCAAGATAAAAATGTGCGAGCCAAAAATTGTCTTCTAGAACGTGCTTATTTAGAAATTAGAAGTAAACAAAGTACAGAATACAATTAAGTTTAAGAATTCAACTTGAGTTCAGAATATTAGTGCATTGTCATGTAACATACCAAAAACAATCACAATTTAAAACGGTACAGAAAGTTGATTGCGGTTGCTATGGTGGTCAATGGTTATGGTAACGTAAAAACTTGAAAAGGCACCATTAAACCTTAGAACTACCAATTTAAACGTTTTACAGTATGAAGTTTAGGCAGATGGATGAATGTTATCCAAAAAGAACAGCCTCGCCAGACTTTTGAAACACCCTGTGTGTTCCTGAACTGTAAACCTCAAAAATATTTAAACATTTAATCCAATTTTCCACTTAAGATAAGATTGTGCGAGCCAACCAGTGTCTCAGAATACAATTAAGTTTAGGAATTCAACGCACACGACCAACAAAATATCAAGTTATCATCACAAAGACCAAACATTCGCAGTTTATCACTGCAGCATATCACTATATTTTAAAACATGAAGAATTGGAAAGATCTAGAACTTTGTGAATGGCAATTTGTAGAGATTGCAGCAGCTGGCGGAAACCACTAAGATGCATTACATGCGAAGATTTCATTCAACAAAACACTAGACATGATTCGATCTAGATCCACAGCGTGAACAGTGCAGTGTAGTGTAGTGTAGAATATACATTTTATTGGGGGCACATTTCACAAACACTGTTCAAACAACCTCTTATAATATCACTAACATGTTGCCAGAACCACCTCCAATTACACAACAGAGCACAACAGAAGTACCCTGAGGAGGAAGAATGTATAATAGACATTTAAAACCAGAAGTAACAGTTCCCAATCAGCAGAGTACAGACGTGCAGGCATTATATTACACAAAATACGGGGTGGTACAATTAACAATACTATATAATATTATACGATATATAATGACATGATAGAAGTTGCGAAAGTTCTAGAACCAGATAGAATGCAGAAGAAATGTAATCCTTCTCGCTCTTCCCACAGACAGTCATACATCTAACTGGATTACTTGTTTGTTTGTTTTTATTTATAGAACCTAAGAACCCGTACCCAATCTTGTATTGAAAAATGACTAAACTCAATTCTGTGTGAAACGGGTGGTACCTCTAATTGGATTACTTAATAAGAGATCGGATGTGAAGATAAGTGTTCGCTGTTAAGTGTTCATTGTTCACCTCGCACGCTGGTTGGATTTACTCCTCATCTATAACCTCAGCTGCAGTGCGTAAACACTACTTGTTTTAAAACCTCAGTAATGTGAAGAATTCGGCACGTCAAGGTAAACAAAGAAAACAGTGGAACGTGAACTCTATTTTTGTAAAGTCTAAGACGTAGGCATATTTATATATGTAATAATTTTTGCGGTTATTACACAAGAAAAAAAATGCAGTTTGGTGTATAAAATATGTAATACTATTATTATATACATCTTTAAAGTTTAGAAATTGATATTGTATTTAAGTGCACTTGATAGAATCAAAAATTGTTACTTACTTATAAATCGTTTCATACATCGTTAAATTATATCATTATAATGCTGTGCGTCTGAAAAATCAAAAAGAAATAAATCGGTGAGTTGAGTTAAAATTACTTTATACATTTATTTACATTTAAACTTCAAATATTTAAGTTGTTTTAGTGATCAAATATTGTGATTATTAGAAAACGTGCAAGTTTATTTATAAGTGCATGTGTTATTTGCTAATGTCTTTAAGATCATTTCATTATTATATTATATAATATACATAGATTAGAATGTGATAACTGAACATATTTATTATTTATTCACAAGAAATTAATTAAATCAAGTGAGTAGTCAAAATAATTTAATCAGGGTATAGCGCGAGTTTAGAATAATTATATAATATATCATAATAACTTTCTGATGAAAAATTGGGGAGTTACATGCAATTTTATACATGTATGAATCAGGCACTGCCATAATCTGAAAATTAAAAAGTTGTAAAATCTGTGTAATAAAGTTTTAAAGCACTACCAAAGTTTGCAGATGAAAATAGATTAATCTTTTTATTTAATAAATTTCCATCTGCCAATAGCAGTCATCTTCCTTGAGTCAGTTCATGTCATCTAATCGGTCCTATGAACGTAGCAGCCGTCATAGTAAAGAGCGTATAAAGTAGCGACAGCAAATATCTCGTTGTTTCGGAAGCTTGCGGAGGAGCAAGTGTCGTGCTGGTGACTCCAGAGACACCTGCTGACCACTCTGATATCCTGCCCACTCACCTGAACACAAGGGTCTACAGTTTTTCACAAAATTATAACATTTTAAACATGCTCTGCTGCATTTTTGGTGCTCTTGTGATCTTTATTATATAATATGGATTTAACCGGGACAAATGAAATTTTATGACATTGAATTCGGGTTAGTCACAACTTTTCACTTGAATAAGGAACACATATAAAGTCAGTGGATAATTGCCTTATACAGGGTGGCCCATAAGTGACTACCCACACGCAACCTCTTAATAACTCACGTAATTCGTCTCCAAATTGCACCAAAATTTGAGAGATTATAGATATGGGTCAAACTTAGATTTCCTGAAAGTTTCGTAAGCCACGCCCAATTACAGTGGGCGTGGCGTGACACTCCCTCTTTTTCACTATTGTCTTCATAAAATGAGAACGCTTTAAGCTAAGAACTCAAAATTTTTTGCACACATTTGGCTTGATAATTGAAAACTTTTCTCAAAGTTTCAAGTTCATTGGTTAAAATATGGCTAAGTTATGACCATTTCAAAACTCATCGGATACGTGATCCGAGCACTCAGTCAGTGATCTCGTCACTTGGTTAATGGCCTGTTTGGCTCACATGCACCGCTTGATTGGTTGCAGCCTGCTTATGGGCCGGCCTTTACAGCTGACAGCACCTAAAACGCTATCACACGAATTTATGGTGGTGTCACCATTTCAGGGCTTGTTAGCCCTGCTAGTCACAGGTTCCTTACAATCAATAAAAAGGAATGAACCATGAATCATCGAAAATGGTTCACTATCCTCCCTTTACTGCAGAACAACGATTGTTCGTCTACCTGAAGAAAGAAAATGGGGAGTTCTACCCTCAGATTAAACGACAATTTCAGATGAAATTCAACCGACCACCCCCTTGCCGGAAAAGCTGCTTTGACATTCATCACAAGATCAAGTTTACGTTTTCTGCACACGATCGGCGAAGAGTCGGCAGAAGACGAACTGCGAGGACTGTAGAAACCATCACGATGGTTGTTGGTGACGTGATGGACACACCTAAGATTGGCACCCGGAAACGAGCTCCTGCCTTAGACATCAGCAGAACAACCCTTCAGGGAATCCTAAAGCAAGACCTTTCTAACCGGGCAAACCGAATCACAAAGAAACACAAACTTTTGAACGCTTGTCGGAGTGTGAAGAAGCGGTGCCTCAAGGTGATTGCAGCTGGGGGACGACAATTTATTGATTTATCCTAAAAATTTGTGTTTTCCTTTATAGCAAAGTCATCATCGGTATCCAATCAAAGCCTAATGAACCTCATTAATACACGCTAACGCCTTACTCTTGATCAGATTGGGTGACGAGATCACTAATTGAGTGCAAATATCACTGACTGAGTGCTCGGATCACATATCCGATGGATTTTAAAATGGTCATAACTCAGCCATATTTTAACCAAGGAACTTGACACTTTTGGAAAACGTTTTCAATTATCAAGCCAAATGTGTGCAAAAAATTTTGAGTTCTTAGCTTAAAGCGTTCTCATTTTATGAAGACAATAGTGAAAAAGAGGGAGTGTCACGCCACGCCCACTGTAATTGGGCGTGGCTTACGAAACTTTCAGGAAATCTAAGTTTGACCCATACCTATAATCTCTGAAATTTTGGTGCAATTTGGAGACGAATTACGTGAGTTATTAAGAGGTTGCGTGTGGGTAGTCACTTATGGGCCACCCTGTATTATAAACCAATCAATTAATTAACTAATTAGTAATTAACGAATTACCTGACCGATGGTTACCCAGCAGACGAGCTTGTACCTTTCAATGTCCCTGATATCCCTTCTAACCTCATCCTTAATAACATCTGACATTGTGTTACTCAGAGATTTACAAATGTCGTGGTCGTACCTAGGTGGATCTGTTAGGCTGTTAGAAGGGGGGCTACAAAACCAAGTTAATGAGTAGCTAAGAGGATACACAACTTTAAATAGTAAATAAATTCTTGTATTTATACCACGCTTCAATATTGAAAACATTCCCCAACAAGATATATATTCAAGTCATTTGAGCATGACTAGCTTTAAGATAATGCATCTTTAAATGCTTAATGATGTTATTTTTAACTTTTTAAATAATCTCTTGTAATGAAATATCGAAGAAAATTGCCATTTCATAATCATCGATTATCATTAGACTATTAAATTATTAGTGATAATAATTGGACTAATTGAATCATTAGAATGTTCAATTAAGATTACAAAACATGCAATTTGATACCAGCAACAGTAAATCGTGGTTTGGTTCGGCAATGAATTCTCAATGCGGTCGTTTCCTTGCAAGGGGTTCACCCTGATTTGTTTTGTGAAACTTGGTTTCGAGATACCAGTTGACCAACAAACTAGGACCAGTGACCGAACTTTTGAGGGGGTCCCGGACCCCAACAGCCAAACAGTGCCCGCGGGGCAACCACGCCCATATTTGGTCCAAATTAGGCCCAATTTAGCCAAATACCCTGAACATGCCCAAAACCATGCTTTGGGGTGCTCTACTTGTAGCTACTAGTCTCCTGAACACACATATTAAGTTTTATCAAAATTGGATAAAAATTGGCCGAGTTATGGGATAAAAACCATATGCCCATATTTGGGCATACGCACCAAATTTGATCGATTTTGGCCCATATGCATAAATTGGTCAAATATCAATATTTTTGAATGAAACCAACTTTATATGGAAGGTAAGCCTATACTACACATTCTCTATGATTATCAGCTCAATATCTACCTAACTGTGGATTCTGTGTTCAAATAACCGCAAAAATGAGCAAAATTGCCCATATCTCAGTTCGCGACATTTGCAAAACTGACTTCGCTCAAAACAATAGAACTCAATAGGGTTTCAATATTTTTTCATGAAATTTTCAGAATCAACGTAGAATTGTCTCATGACTTTAAGTTTTGGGACAGAATTTTGAGTTAGGCCTTTAAAAAAATTTGGCCGCCAAATTCCAAAATTTGCACTGCTAAATTTAGAATTTGACCGCCAAATTTTTTTAAGGGCCTAACTCGAAATTCTGTCCCAAAACTTAAGGCTTTAAGGTCATGAGACAATTCTACGTTGATTCTGAAAATTTCATGAAAAAATATTGAAACCCTATTGAGTTCTATTGTTTTGAGCGAAGTCAGTTTTGCAAATATCGCGAACTGAGATACCTATGGGCAATTTTGCTCATTTTTTGCGATTATTTGAATACAGAATCCACAGTTAGGTAGATATTGAGCTGATAATCATAGAGAATGTGTAGTATAGGCTTACCTTCCCTATTAAGTTGGTTTCATTCAAAAATATTGATATTTGACCAATTTATGGACCAAAATCGATCAGATTTGGTGCGTATGCCCAAATATGGGCATATGGTTTTTATCCCATAACTCGGCCAATTTTTATCCAATTTTGATAAAACTTAATATGTGTGTTCAGGAGACTAGTAGCTACAAGTAGAGCACCCCAAAGCATGGTTTTGGTCATGTTCAGGGTATTTGGCTAAATTGGGCCTAATTTGGACCAAATATGGGCGTGGTTGCCCCGCGGGCACTGTTTGGCTGTTGGGGTCCGGGACCCCCTCAAAAGTTCGGTCACCGGTCCTAGTTTGTTGGTCAACTGGTATCTCGAAACCAAGTTTCACAAAAAAATCAGGGTGAACCCCCCCCCCCCCCCCCCCCCCCTTAAATAACTGATAATTAACTAATATTATTATGCTGCAGTTGAGAATTACTTCATATTTGTGAGCCTTGAGTCAAGGATGATTTGTATCTTTTTACTGACAGCTGAACTGGGGAACTTAACAATTGGCACAGTTCTATAGGAATTCTCCTGAAAATTTAAAATACTATTAGCACCAATAAATTATAATTCACATCAGTGGGAAAAGAATTTCAAAGAGACGCAGAAGCCTGAAGAACTTTGATGACCAATCGTTATAATACCAATGATGTCATGATAAGAATCGAACAAGACAAGCCTTCTACAGCCACAATTTTAAAATTCTATAACTGAAACTAAAACTAAATTCTGAAACTAGTCCTATTAAATCGAGAAGTTTCATTGTTTATCGTTCGTACTCACCATCTCATGTCTTGGTTTCATAGCAAGGGAGCGCTTAAAACTGTTAATAGAACTTCCAGTATCACTCATCATGGATCTGGACATCCTTCTCGCCATGTTCGGGATCTGATGTCCGTGTCCATCGTTCTCTGCTATTCCTACTAGAGAGGTTTTACGACGTGGTGGCTCTCCGGTCATGGAAACCATGGACCTTCTTCCTTGCAACATTGCTAGAGAAGTGGAGGTGTTACAACGGTGTTACAGTAATGCAACAGTAATGTTACAGTGGTGTTACGGTAATGTTACAGTGGTGTTACAGTGGTGTTACGGTAATGTTACAGTGGTGTTACAGTAATGCTACAGTGGTGTTATCAGGTATGTAGGACAAGACAATTTCAACTTCCGCATAAACTTAGTGTTATTTGAGGTAAACATTTGATTGCATTGCCACAATAAGTTCCAGGAAAACTGTTGCTGATTACTCACCAAGATAGTTAGGCTTAACAAACTGGGCCCTTTTTAATAATTTTTAAGCTCTTTTAGATTTAAAGGTTAAGATGTTGAAAGGAGACGAAATGGTGGATTGGAAAAAACTGAAAAAATTATTTTAAATTAAAATTTAAAAACACAATGTATGAAAATAAAAATAATTATGTAATAGAAAATAACGTCAACCAAAGTCAACATTCTGTTACCTTAATCACATTAAAGTTCGTAATCAACTACTGTTATTAATTTTGAATATCAAAAAATAAACTTTATATAAAGCTCTTAACATTAAACATTATACCAACTACCGTCACAAATTTGAATAAATCAAAACATTTTGAACCCTTTAAAAAAGATGCACCTGCCAAAGCTCATGGTGCCCTGGTTGTGATAGGAGTCTCGAATTTTCCATTGGAATACAAAGTAATAGAAAATACCGTCAATCAAAGTCAACATTCCTTAGTCACATTAATCACATTAAAGTTCGTAATTAACTACTGTCATAAATTTTGAATATCAAAAATGAACATTGTCATTAAATGTAATTTCCCTTGATTTTTAATCCTTTTTTTTCCTCTTTTTCTTTGTTCATAACATAAAACCTAAATTTGCTTTGATACCGCTTTTCATTAAGAAATCCTTTTGTCGCATGTGAAAACTGACAAGTGTCATTCAACTAAACATACTTAATACTTATTTACAAGACATTAATCAAGTAAAAATAATTTAATCGGGATGAAATAGCAAGTTTAGAATAATCATATGATTTGTAATAACCTACTGTTATAAAATTGAGGAGTTATGTATGCAATTTTATACAATTCTAAATATTAAACATACCTACTACCGTTACAAATTTGAATGTATCAAAACATTTTCCCTATTTATAAAATTTGTCAAAGCCCATTGTGTACTGGTTGTGTTATAGAAAATACCATCAATCAAATTTTTGTTATAAATTTTTAATATCAAAAAATGAATATTAAATGTACGTAATTTCCCCAATTTTTTTTTCTTTTTTCCCTCTTTTATTTCTTCTTTCATAAGAAATAATTTAATCGAGTTATAGCACGTTAAGGAGTTACATGCAATATTATACATTCATGAATCATGCAAAGCTAAAAATTTTGCAGGTAAAAATAAATCAATCATTATTTAACAAATTTCCACCAAATAAAAGGGACACTTAATTTTTCTCTTTTATTTTCTTCTTTCATAACACAAAACTTATAATATCGCTTTTCATTCTGTAATCTTTTTGTGGCACGAGAAGAATGACAAGTGTTCACGAGTGTCATTCAAATAAAGATTTCCATCTTTGTCCAAGAATTGATCATAGAATACCTCATTTCGGACTGTGTAATTTAATTTATCACGGAAAATTTTACCTGAGTACAATCCAGAGACAAAACTTACTGTGTAGTCACATCCTTTCTCTCTTCCAACTGATTCGCCTTGCTTTACCAATTCAGTTCCAATACCTTTACCTCGTGCCTCCTTTGCAGTACAAACAAGAACGTCACAGAGTATTTTCTGGCAACCAAACTCATCAAACATGGGCCACACATCATAGTTGACCTGACAGTACAGTGCGGGTATAACTTCACATGACTTTTGGAGGACTGGTTTTCCTAATAGCCAAGCTATTCTACCTAAACTGGGAATGAAACTCGCAAAGGCAAAATCATATAACCATCTGAACCAAGAGCCTCTATCAATGATTTCTGTAAGCCTTACGCCAATGATTTTTCCATACGAGTCTGTTGCCATTACACAAGATCCTCCCTTTATAGCATCACTGAAACAGCTGTCTAAGTAAGTGCTTTGCTCGATGCCTATTGACCTAAATATTGGGTCATCTGTGAAGAAGTGTTGGCCAACAAGTGTGCAAACCTCCGCTGTTCTGTCTGGAGTTATGATGCTGAACTGAATTCCAGCCTCAGCAAAGACAGACATCAGTATATTCTGAGGGGTAAGAACAAATTTGTTGCAGTTCTATAGATCTTGGAAAGGTCCTAAAACAAGTCAATCCTGTACTACGAATTACAGGTCATTGTGCATAAATGACAAGACTAGAAATTACCAGATTACAAACCAGACAATTGCATTTAGTCACCCACAGAAATAAAACAACTCTGGTTAATAATCTTGAAACATCGCTCAATAAAGTCCGATTGATCGTAATGTAACAAATCCTTGTCTACTCGATCTAATATAATTAAGTTGAGTAAATAAATGAATAAATAAAATCAAGTTTTCTATACAATATTAATAGCATAATTATGTAATTTAAGAGTAATCACAACTCAGTGAGTTAGTAGTCACATCCTTTCTCTCTTCCGACTGATTCACCAGTCACCTTGCTTTACCAATTCAGTTCCAAGACCTTTAACTTACTTTGCTCAAACTCTGCTCTAACTTTAATTAGAAAAACGCTATATAATTGTATTTCTCCAGCCACCATGAAAGCATGACAGGATAAAGTATGCAGTAAAATATGCTGTGTTGTATTTTTATGAAAAATAGCTTGTAAAGCTTTTGACCCTGCCTTATGTTATTACGGTAATTTAAAATCATGACTAGGTTATTATTTGTGCAAATTATCTAGATATTGATTATATGGATTCATTTAGCTGTTATAATTCAGAAACACCATTGTAAATGTTTTCCTGAACACCTAAAAGAGCCCCTTTTCCATATTTTGTAAGTTCAATTTTAAATTAAAAGGGTAAGATGTTGAAAGAAGACGAAATGATGGATCGAAAGTAACTGAAATTTTCTTAATTTGTATATTGAAATACAATGCAATAGAAAATACCTTATATCACATTAAAGTTCTTAAAAAACTACTGTTACAAATTTTGAATATCGTAAAATTAACACTAAAGTTCTAAACGTAAAACCATTACAAATTTGAATATCATAACAATTAACATAAACTTTAATATAATAGATTAATACCGTCTGAAACATGCATGCTGTCAACCAAACTTTTAATTACAACAGACTTGAATAGGTCATTTAAAATACATATAATATGATGCAGTTAGTAAATTTGTTTGTAAAATAGTAACCTCACAACATGTTCCAACATCGACACTTTGCATTGCTGTCATGGGATTTACTGAACATTTTTGCATTTCAACCCATATCAGATCAAGCTGAAATCCATCATTAGAAAAATACAATTATTCATCATTTGCGCTTTATTCTAGTGGCAAAAATATAGCTAACATCCTTCATCTCCACTGATACTTTACAACCTAATATTTTTACATAGTACTCTAGCCGTTGCATCCTCATCCACATCTTTTAGATAAAGGCCACCGTTTTCATCCCTAAAATCATAAAGCACAACAACACTCCTCAACGTGTATCCACAATCACGCAATATACTTTGAGTGTGACTATCAGTAGTCACACACAAAGCTAAATCACACTCATGCTCCCTAGCTGCTATTTCTCCATGTCTCACCAACTCAGTTCCTAGACCAATAAAAGGTGATTCCTTGGAGGTGCAGATAAGGATATCACCAGCTACCACCTGACAGTCCTGTCCATCAAACAAACCCCACACAGTGTAACCAAGCAGTTTAAGCAGCTTGGTATTGACTTCACGAGCCTTAGCTGCAGCGCTCCAATCAAACATGGCCCCCACAGAAACGCTACTTTCAACCTTCTTTATCCAATCTCCCCTTCTGTAGATGCTCGCCAAATGTACTCCAATCACATCTCCGTGTTTATTAGTGGCCATTACACAGATCCCCTCTCTTATACAGATCTCAACAGTGCTGTTGAAAACTTTGTCCTCTGTAACACCATGTGATTTTGTGATAAGGTCGTAGGGTAGAAAGTTTGTGTTCAAGAATTGGATGATAAGCTCAGTATGCTCCTGTTCGATCCGAATAAACTTAATCCCAGCAGATGCAAAAATGTTATCAGTTATTTTGTGGAGAATATTTTCTGTTTTTTCACGAATTCCATCTCCAAAATGATGTTTTTGACTAATTTCTTCACAACCACTACTACTGCTGCTTTGTTTCTCCATTGTCGAATTATGCTAAAAGAAGGACAAAATACTACCAAACCAAACAAAACTTTAAGAATATTGCATATTTATATTCAAGTTGTGAAGCAGTAAGCAACTCACTTAAGTAGACAAACATCAAATGTAAGCATACAAATGGTAAACATACAACCACTGAATATTCCCGATTTGAATCCAGATAATTCAGGATCAAAGTACAAGGTCGGATCGATGTTGTGAGATTACGATATTATTAGATTTTGGTGAGTATTTAGTAATGGCCCAATCAATCTGACAACGTTAATTTGCTTTGTTTCTGCAGTCAGATAATTAAAAATGAGGAACTCGACCATTTTAGGGCAGCTTGTTTGAACGAGCAATAAATAAAATAGAGTACGGGTATTTGCCTCACAGAATGGCCAAAAAAAAGGAAGGTCTCTCAAAGTCACAAAACACACTTTATTCCAGTTTTTATCTCATAAGAAGCTAAGTTGACACTCATATTTTTCTTCCCGGGGGTTCATTTAATCTCATAACCATTTTTTCTTTGAGAAAAATTGGCCGGAAAATCTTCCTCGAAAAAAACATGCCTCACAGAATGGCCAAATCTGAATTTCTATAATTTTGTTGATGGAGATACTTTTTAAATTTCTATCACCACACGTTCTTAGAAAACCTATTAAGGAATGGGGTAATAACCTAAAACTCACGAAAAAACT